AGTTTCGGCAAGTTGAACCGCAGGGAGAGACGCAACTCCACAAGTACAGGCAGTCTGTGCGGTGGTGCAAGCAGTGCCCATACGTGAAGCAGAAGTGTGGTGCGGGTGTGGCCGCGTGTCACATGTGAGTGCACCAAGCGCTAGTACAAGCCTTCGCAGTGGAACATCTTCCTGTATAGTTGCACGGATCAATCCGCGGTGCATCTCATCGAACCTGGATGGAATGGGCTTTAAAATGTGGTTTAAGGTTCAGGGCTTGGTCCATTGAGGCCTGGTTCAGTGCTTATATAGGGTTCAGGGCTTGTGAAGGTTCAGGGTCAATTGATTGCGGTCGGATAGATACGCAGCTGGTGCGGATGCTGCTGGGCATTGCGTAGATGTGGAGACTCCCTCAACCCAAGAACCCCAAGCTCGAGAAACCCTAATCCCGAAACCCCAAATCTTAAAACCCTTCATCCTCGACCCCAAGCCCCCAAACCCTAAACCACCCCTCATCCTCGCCGGTTTTGGCGAATAAGGTCTTTTCTCCACCAGTGAGGCTTCCCAGGCAAGTGACGCCCAGCTTCTCAGTTGACAGAAACACCCAAATTAAGTTTGGGGTTTATAGGGCTCAAAGGGATTTTTTCTTATAGGATGTTAGGGTGTTAAGGGCTCATACGTCGATTGAGGGTGTGAGTCAGGGATTTTCGAGCTTTTTAGGTTCAGGGCGGCCACAACGGCTTCACTAGATCTGGATTTGCAGAGATGGTGCGTGATTTCGTGTTGCATGAAGCTTGCGCTAGCTGGGATCTACTGGTTAGGCATTGCCCCAAAATGCCAACTGAAAGGCAGAAAGCTCCAAGGCTTGTAGACATGTAGGGCTGAAGCTTTGCAAAGCTGGGTTGAATCTGACAGCGCTACGTATCTAATGTAACTAGATTTCAAATCTCAAAAACAAAGAACTATGCCCAAATCGAGATCCTGAGGCATATGGTCTCACCACTCAGGCTGTTGCCCAACAGAGCACATAGGAACCCGTCCCATGTATAAAGTGGACTCCTCAAAGCTCATGCATAGGGGATCGGACTGTTTTATTTCAGTTTTATCTCAGGGAGAAGAAAAAGAAAAGGGTGCGAGTGCACCCAAAGGTAAATGGTTGCCTGCGGATGGCCCTGTATAATCGCGCTCGAACAGGATCCCTCTAGTGATTTCGATGCCCCTCCTGAATAGTTAAGCGGCTTTTAAACATTGTCCCTAGTATGACTTTGTTCATGGACACCCGAAGCCTCTGACCCCTTTAAACCGAAACCCTAAATCCTGCTTGCTTAAAGACACAAAAACGCAGCCCCAAATCCTAAAACGTAAGCGCTCGAATCCATGCCGTCCGAAGCCCTGCGGCTCCCAACCCTATCCTTCCTTGTGTGCTCTTGTTTCGGCTGGCTTCCAATGGTCCAGAGCATCTGGCGACGAGGGCACGACGGCTGCCTCGGCAGGTTGCCCACAGCCGGATCCTGCCAGACTTTCGATTGTTGTAGCTAGGCAGGTCTGGCTCGAGATGTTTTCGAATTTCCTCAACTATTGGTTTCCTTTGGTGTCCTTGGGAACCTTTAAACCCCCATACCCCTAACACTTTCAACCCCAAACCCTGTTGAGGATTGACCTTCCAGGAAACCCAGAGCCAGCCCGAGCCCCAAAGCAGTCAGGGCAGCCCCAGCCCAGCTACCAACAGAGTGGGCTAGTGTTCCTAAAACACCTGAACCTACTTTGCACATCGGTATATATATATATATATTCATATTTGTTGTTTAGGTTTATGTACACGTTATTGGGGTCGACGGCAGGATCCGGGGCAGGGTTTGGTGCAAGTTTGGACGGAATAATCTAGTGCTCGGTCGTAATCTGGCAGCTGCAGTAATTGACAAGATCATTTCGCTTGATTCATGGGTCGTCTTATAAAAGATAGCAGATCGCAGGTGCAGGATGTTCCTGTGCTTTTCCACAGGGGGGCGATATGAGGCAGACGGGTTCTGTCAGGGTTTGGCTGCCGAACCCGGGTTTGGGATATATTGTACGAAGGTTATGCTGCGACGAGGCGACGCTAAGCGAATACTCTCAGTAATTGTTCAAGCCCTCATATTACGGGTGTTACAGGATCAGAGCACTGTTCCGGAAGAAGGTTTCACTGAGTTCGAGGTAACTACGCACCAAATCACTGACAGCTGGCATGTGCATGTACATATCACCCTGGAGGTCCAGTTACCGCTGCAGTGGGCTTCTGTCCCTTCAAGCCCACAAAATGTATGAACCATGTATATAATCAGTAATCCTATAACCCATAAACACCCTCAACTCAACCCTAAACCCACAATGTGCTCTAAACCCTGCACCCTAAACCCATAATATATCCTTTTGCTGCAGGCTTGCTTGCAAGGGCGCCTGGTACTGTGCCGCTCTTCCGCCCATAATATGTCCTAAACGTTACCTGTAGCCGAAAAGACCTACCTTTTTAGGGTTCCTTATTATGGTTTCTTTATATGGTCTTTTCGGCTATAAACCTTAAACCCTACTTACTAAACCCTACAGGTAAACCATTTAGGCAACTGGGCTTCTGGGGTCAGGCAGCGCCTCCCGGACGGGATGTGCAGCGCCAGGTTTCCGCGAAGACGACGGACAAAGACCCGAAGAAACGCGCCCGCAGCGCCTTACTCTTAGGGGTACTTAGAAATATTTTTATTTTTGGGTTATTATGATCCCTAAGAAACAGCTAGAATTATAGTTTTTGCTAGGGTTCTAAGTTCAGTATAGTTACTGTGGGGTTCCTTGAAAGGGGTCCTGAAGGGATTTACAAGGGTCCTATGATACAGGAGGGGCCTTTATAATAGTTGGGGCCCATTAAACTATAATTATAGTAAGGACCCCCTAAAGCAGTATAGGCAGTTATTAAAGCCCCTAGAGCCGAGGGTTCAGGCAAAAGTTCGGTTTGGCACATAGCTGTAAACTGCTTGACAACTTGCTTCTTCTTGTACAAGGTTGTAGGGTTTGTAGGATAATTTCGGGGACGCTGAAAGCGGTCCCAAGACCCCAAGACTTGGAGCGCCAAAAGCTCGCAGCAGACTTTGACAAACGCATGCAGCTGGGGTCAAGTTATGGCAAGAGCCTAACTAACTCACTTTGTTACGGTGCCGGCAGCCCCCAAATTTAAGTAATGGCAAGAGACTAGCAAGACAAGACTGCTAAGTATCATGACGAGAGCCTAGCCCTAAGTCCTAAACCCTAAACCCTAAACCGCTAAGTACGATGATGGTGCCTTTGATCTCTAGCACCCATACCCTCGTCGAACTGCTGTACTTGGCTTCCTGCGTTAGCCTAGGGTTCCTGTAAAGGATCTATAAGGGCCCTTTAAAGGGATCTATAGGGTTTAGGGGGTGTAGGGGTTCAGGGTTTAGGGTTTGGGGTTTAGGGTCTAGGGTCTAGGGGTCCCGGGGTCTGATATTAATCTTAGATAGGGAACCTTTAAACTTTTTGCCCTTGTATATTAGCTCTGTCTTCGCAAGTTTGAACTGTTTGGGGCCCGGTGGTTGAAGAAGCGAGTAATGCAAGGGTGTAGGTGTTCAGGGTTGAAGTTAAGGGCGCAGGGTTTAGTTTAGGGTTTGGTGAGCTTGAGGGTTTGTTTTTGGTGAAGCTCCTAGGTCGGCCTCAAGATGGAATCGTTTTTCGCGCACAGCAGTCCGAACAGGACGTAGAAACTGCGATACCTTAACTCTTTTTGTAGGTTCTATTTGTCAAGCCCTAATCAAGACAACTTACATGGACCACCAAAAGAAGTCAAAGTAGGTTTCCGGCTGTAGGGTTTTGCTGTGCCTGTGTGACTGGGCTCAAGTCGGAGTAGGCGGGGGGCGGGGCCCCTTTGGGGGGGTTCCCAGGGGAGGCGGGAAGCAGGGTTTAGGGTTTGGGGCAGCGTTTATCTTTTTGAGAACTTGGCTTTCTGCCTAGCGTTCGTACCGTTACCAGTATTCTTTCTCAAGGCTCCTAATCAATCATACACTATAAATAATATAATTAAATACCCCAACTTGCAACACCCTATTCGAATTAACAGTGCTTGCATGTTGGCGTCCAGGGCTTTAAGCTTCCTCCTAAACCCCCTTACCCCAAAGGGTCCAAGTAACCATATAGTATATACTTTAGGGTACTACCCATAGGCCCCAAAGTAGTTCCTTTTTGGGATTACTTTATAGGATTCTATATACGAAGCGACCGATGATCCTCCCCAGTATTATAGAAGCCTAAATACTCGAACAAGTGTCGCTGGGCCCCTGCACAATGACATGCGCTAGGGAACCCTGGAGAATAACCCCTATAAGACTTCAGAGCCCCAAATCAAACCCTGAAGCTCTAAACTCTACCCATAGGCCCGAAAGTAGTTCCTTGTTGAGAGTACCTTATAGGATTCTATATATGAACCCACAAAAGGAACTACTTTGGGGCCTGAGAGTAGATGCTACACCCTGACTGCCCAAATCAATGTCGGAATCCCACCCCTAAACCCTAACTAGCTAACTTTGTTCTAGACCCTAAACCCTCATAATCTCAAGGTTCCGGGTCATGGCCCTTCATCCCACAACTCCGATGTTAGACCCTAAGGCCCCAAAATAGTTCCTTTTTGGGGGTTCGTATATAGAATCCTAGAAGGTAATCCCAAAAAGGAACCACTTTGGGGCCTATGGGTAAACCCTAAACCCTAAACTCCTAAACACTACCTACCAGGTCATCCCGGGTTTAGGTAAACCCTAAACCCTACTTGCAAGGGCAGGGGACTTAGTAAGTAGGTTATAAGTAGAGTTATAAGTACCCTAAATGGAGTTACCCAATTATAACCCTACTTATAACCTACTTACCCCCTCCAAGTAGACCCTAAACCCTAAACCCCATAGACCCCTTTTAAGGAACCCTATAGATCCCTTTAAGGAGCCCTTACTAAGTCCCCTGCCCCTCCAAGTACCCAGACCCTTCAGGCCTTCATGGCGACTGCGGAGGAGCTACGGCAACGGCTTCATCTACAGGTGGGTCAAAGGGGAAAAGGAGGGACCCTTAATGGGGACCCCTACCCTATAATGGGCTATATAATGGGTATATAATGCCTATATTAAGGGTATATGCCTAGGGGTCCTTATTAAGGGTCCCTCCTCTTCCCCTTGGAGTGGGTGCTCTTTAGCGGGTTTAGGGGGTTCTAAAGGGTTCGTGGGTTTGGGGTTCAGGGTTTAGGGGTTTACGGGGTTTAGAGGCTTAGGGGTTAGGGGTTTAGGATTTTGGGGTTTCGAGGTTTAGGGTTGAACTGAGGGAAGTTCGGAAATGGGGACCCCAGCCATAAACCCAAGATGAGTAAGTAAGTAGTTCTCTCAAGCAGGGTTCCTCGTGAGGTCCCCAAAATAGTACGGCACCCTTACAAGAGGTACCCTACCAGAGGCCCTGATTTAGAGAACTACCCATATGCCATTGAGGATCCGAAGCTTTTGCGTGTTCGAGTTCGTCGGGGGTGCAGAGCAACTTGAAAACCCAAATCCCTTGGTTTAGGGTCTAGGGTTCACATAGACTCCCATATCCCTTGATCAAAGTATAGCCCTAAAATCTTTTTCGGGATCCTACTCTAAGTTAAGATATTTCCACAAATTAAGGGTTACTAGATTATGCCCATCCAGGAGCAACGGCCCTGGGCCAAACCCCCACCGGCACCAGGGAACTCTTAAACTCAAGAGCCAGAAGCCGGGTTTAGGGTTTATTCTTGGAGGGGCAGGGGACTTAGTAAGTAGGTTATAAGTAGGGTTATACTTAGGGTAACTCCATTTGGGGTACTTATAACTCTACATATAGCCTATTTAGGGCACTTATAGCTCTACTTATAACCTATTTAGGGTACTTATACTCTACTTATAATTTACTTGCTAAGTCCCCTGCCCTTCCAAGTAGGGCGAAGGGCGCTGCACGCAAAGCCTTAACCCAAGCAGCGGTCTGGCATTCGAGGAGGCGAAGCACACGGCTGACGTCCAGAGGCACTGTCGCAGCTCATGAGATGGGAGTCCTTAGCTAGGATAAGCCCTAAACCCCTAAACCCCTAAACCCTAAACCCTAAACCCCTAAACCCTAAACCCTAAACCCTAAAACCCTAAACCCTAACCCCTAAACCCTAAAAGGGTTCAGCAGTATAGGAGTTCGGGGTCCCTTTTAAGGTCCTGAGGGATGCTACTCGTTACGACCATTTTTATTGGCTGAAGCTTAGGGTTTAGGGTTTAGGGTTTGGTGGTGTAGGGTAGTACTTGGGAAAATCTATGCCGTTAACCCTAAACCAAGATACTGGGACCCATAGAGAACCGTATTTTTTTGTGTACCTGCTTTGTAACGGGCCCCTACGGAAGCTGAGTCGCCTGAGCCCTAAAAGGCTCGTATTAAGCCTTCTACAAGGGTGCCAGTTGGGGCGCCTATCAGGGTTCTACGGGACCTAGAGACTCATACCCTACCCCTCTGGTAGGATACCTATAGTTTTATGGTTACTATCTGTTATATACAAAGTAGGTTTATGGTTACTATCTGTTATATAAAAAGGTAGGTTTATGGTTACTGTCTGTTATATAAAAAAGTAGATACCCTAAAAAATCGGTAGGGTTTGAGCCTACGAGGCCCACAACATGGACAGTGGCTTTGAGGAAGGCCTCAAGCAATTGGGCGTTGGAGAGCCATTGGTTGCCGAGATGGTTCATCGCATGGTTGACGTGGGTGGAAGATTTGCATATAACGTTGAGGGCGAGGTCCTCAAACAGAAGAGTGGCAGAAAACTGCGGGAACCGGACGCTATCAGAGCGTTGGGACCACTTGCAAAGCGAGACTGGGTCGATTCCCCAGGTGCCTTCCTATCAGGGTCGGGCTCCAGAAGTCCACAAAGGTGGAAACCTTTCACAAGATGGCTGGCTTCGCACTTGATTGCGAGCGTGGAGGCATATGGTTCGAAGCCATAGGCCAGATGCCAGCCCTGCAGGCGTTGGGTGACAAGCTGAAACGTGGTAGTTTGGTGATGTTCAGCAAGCTGAGCATTAACAAATCCGCCTACCACAGCGGCGGTCGGTATCTTGATCTCTCAGCCAAGTCTGGAACGACCGTGTCGGGTTTGCCGCCTGTGCATGTCCATTACAAATCTACAGGTGGCTGGGCGCGAAGGCTTCGCCTGTAACTCCAAGATCGCATTGCTGGAAGGCCTGCGCCGTGGCCAGAAAGCAGATGTGCTGGGCAAGGTGACGAACGTGACGGTTAAGGACTTGAAAGATGGCAGCGTGTCTTGGCAGTTGCACAGTTTTCGGAAACTCCCAACTGGCCACAGAGTGCTCGATGTCCAAGCTGTAGCCGGCGACACCACAGGGATGGCTCCTCATAGAACCTTCAGAGACCTCTTTTAGCGGAATCCCGAACCCTCATAGGTCCCTTAAAGGAACCCCGTGGAACCGTCATAGATCCGGTTAAAGGAACCCTGTAGAGCCGTTATAGATCCCTTTAAAGGAACCCCCTGCAGAACCTCATAGATCCCTCTAGAGGAACCGCCGCAGAAGCCTAAACCCTAAAACCCAAATCTTAAACCCTGAACCCTGAACCCTAAACCTTAAACCCAACCCTAAACCCTGAACCCTAAACCCTAAACCTCTAAACCCCTAAACACCTGAGAGGATTCTATATATGAACCCCAAAAGGAACGACTATGCAGCCTTAGGGGAGTAGCTGAGTAGGTGACCTCTATCCTTTTGTGTTTTTTTGGTCATCCGATCATGATCGAGAGGGTTACCCATTTCTGGGCTAGGGTACTCAGCCCCTGAGAAGACGTACTAGGTGTACTTGCATTTACGATAACCTTGAACTTGAAACTCGAAACTCCAAACCCTAAACCCCGAACCCTAAACCCGAAACCCCGAACTCTCAGCCCTAAACCCCGAACCCTACACCCTAAATCCCGGAACCCTAAAGCCTACAGTAAACCCCATAAAGTTGGAAACCGTACTAAGGCCAAATAGAGCTGGGATTCCTTATACATTACTCTTCAGGATTTAGGCTATTGGGTTTCCAACTTTTGGGCTTCTACTGTAAGCCTAAACCCTAAATCCCGGAACCCTAAAGCCTAAATCCCGGAACCCTAAAGCCTAAATCCCGGAGCCCTAAACCCTAAATCCCGGAACCCTAAAGCCTAAATCCCGGAACCCTAAACCCTAAATCCCGGAACCCTACACCCTAAATCCCGGAACCCTAAAGCCTAAATCCCGGAACCCTAAAGCCTAAGCCTAAACCCCTTTTTTAGCAACCCTGAGCTCGAAACCCGGCATCCTCGAAAGCCCCGGCAGTGCGAGGCTAAACGTTCAGATCCAGGAACTCCGGAGGCCGACCTAGTGTTTAGGGCTATAGGGACAAGGGTTTAGGGATTAGGGTTTAGGGATTAGGGTTTAGACGTTTAGGGTTTAGGGACAAGGGTTTAGGGTTTAGAAGTTTAGGGTTTAGGGATTAGGGTTTAGGGTTTAGGGATTGTAGTTTAGGGTTTAGGGATAAGGGTTTAGGGTTTAGGGTTTAGAAGTTTAGGGTTTAGGGATTAGGGTTTAGGGTTTAGGGATTGTAGTTTAGGGTTTAGGGATAAGGGTTTAGGGTTTAGGGAGTAGGGCTGAGGGTTTAGAAGTTTAGGGATTTGGGTTGAGGGTTTAGAAGTTTAGGGATTAGGGATTAGGGTTTAGGGATTAGGGTTTAGGGCTTAGGGCTCAGGGTTTAGGGATTAGGGTTTAGGGATTAGGGTTTAGGGAGTAGGGTTGAGGGATTAGGGTTTAGGGCTTAGGGCTTAGGGTTTAGGGATTAGGGTTTAGGGATCAGGGTTGAGGGTTTAGGGATTGGGGCTCAGGGTTTAGGGTTTAGGGTATCAGGGGAGTTTGAGGCAGATGCCTTGGCAGGGTTTTGGGCATCAGACGGGCCATAAGGGTTTACGGGGGTCAAGATTTAGGCAATTTCGGGGCGTTTGGTGGAGGTTAGACAGCCGCGTAGGCTTTGCGGTTCATGGTTACAGCATGATGCTGAGTTTGACGATGCTGCTGATGTTTCATGTTGGTGATCTTGACGTTGGTGGTGGTGATGATAACGATCTTCGAGGTTGTTGGCTCCTTCTGGAGCCACAGCATGGCTTCCTCCGCTGCCATGTCAATGTGTTTCTGACTCCTGCAGCCCGAACCCCTGATCCGGATAGTTCTCCCTCAGCGAACGCTACACTCAGGTTTCTGCAAGTCCAGAGCGGATAAAGCCTTAACACAGCCGGAAATCCAATGGCTTAAACCGTCGAGAACCATGCCTTAAATCTCAAACCACGAACACCCTAACCCTAAATCCTGAAACCCTGAACCGTAGAACCCTATGTCCCCCCCCTTCTTGCAGAGGATAGTGAAGGAGCTGGAGGAGCAGGACGCAGGCCGATCTTGGTGGGAAGGTACAAATTGCGGGTTAAGGTCTAGGGTTTAGGACTCCACTTGTGCTTGCGGGGGTTTCAGGGCTTTTGGCGATTGTAAACGGAGGACAGCAGGGACTACTATATAAGTTACCAACCAATCCAGGCAGACCTGCATCACGCAATGTCATCTCCAACTCCTAATTAAGTCCTAAGCACCCAAAGAAATCCTAACTCTCAGATAAAGCCTGGAAAAACCTTCTTCTAAGCCAGACTGCTAGCCGTTGTTGAGGTTGTCCTAGTAGTAGAGTAGGTATAACCTGTAACCTTTGTAGCGTGCCATAACCCGTATATAGTATAATCCCGATAGACTCTCACAGGTTATTCCTGTAGCTCCCGAGGATACTTGACACATAGGTCTTTGGTGCGCTGGCGCTGGCTAACAGTTCTCAGGGGCCTTTGGGTTCGTCTACGCAGACACACCGGTACCGTCCAAAGCTCAAAGTTTCCTAACAGAACCCTGAGCCTGAAAAATCTCGAAGAGCCTAAAGCCTCAAAAATACCCGAGCTCCCTGCCCCATCGAAAAGGACGCTTAAAAACTCTCTCAGCGGAGAATCCCTGGAGGTCTAAGGCAAGTGAAGCCCTGGGGTTTAAAATCCTAAACCCGAAACGTTAAACCCGAGACCCCAGACCCTCAACCCCGAAACCCTAGACCACCGACCCTAAACCCCAACCCCCAAACCCCTAAGCCATGAACCCTAAACCATAGGTTCCTTATTTAGGAGCTTCAAGGACAACCGTGTCAAACGGAACGAAGAGTCTCATGTAGGGTTGTGAAAGGGTGTCGTATGCTCTCTACAGGGGTTCATAGGCTTATGCTTAGTGCCTTAGGGCTGTGACCGGCAACCCTGATCAAAAGGAACCCCAACCCGCTATAAGGACTTTTAACAGAGATCCAAAAACTAGTAAGTAGACCACTGTTGTGCTCGGTGCGCCGCCGCACAGCACGGCGGCTTTTTAGCTGAGTCTGAGGGGACCTCCTGGAGAGCTGCGGCTCAGGTGTCAACCAGCGTCCTACAGCCAGTCATCACTTGGCCTAGTGTGCTTGCCAACCCCCTAGATGGGAGCAGATTGTTTGTCTACCTGACATTGTTTGCACGCTACAGTGGTACTGTGCGTTTTGTGGCAAATGGGTTGCTCAAAAGAACGGCATGAAAAAAGCACCGGCCAATTCCGCATGCAGACGTGTGGCGGCAGCACTTGCCTCTTATACAACACTGGCGCCGTCAGTGGTCCAAAACCATTCGCTCCCCGTGCCAAGTGTGTGGTGCATAGGTCGTTGACTACAGACAGCATGCTATGGTTCAGGCGGCTTTGGTTGAAGCCAGCGCTCAGAGCTCAAGAGATGGATGTCGATCGGGGCTCAACCAAGTGCATGGATCCTCCTGCCGGGACGACGGGCCAGGGCAAGGGCAGGGGCAGGGGCAGACACGGAAGGGGCGGGAGCGGAAACCGGCCACCAAAGCAAGTTCGCACATACCAAATCTACGTCTGTGGAAATGCTCTCGGGTCTTTGGCAGGCACCGACATCTACAAGTAGCAGTGAAACCTAAGGGTTACATATTGCGAACAATCGTCACAGGTTGATGAGAGGCGTATTTCTTATGCAGGGAAGTACCTAAAGGATCATGGGACTTAGCAAGTAAGGTTATAAGTACCTTAATTGGGCGTATAAGTATAAGTACAGTTACCCTAATTATAACCCGAGTTTCTAAGTCCCATGATCCTTTAAGTAAGCGACCCGGAGAGTCTCCTTAAGCTTTCGAAAGCCCACCAAAACGCCTCTGCGCGCGCGCCCTGAACCGGATCGGCCGGAACGTTGTAAAGCCAGTGAAGGAAATTCAGCAAGTAGTTAATGAGGAGATCTACCGATGTAGGAACCTGACTAACAAAATCGTATATAGGTTTCCTATAATAGCTCTGACCAGGACCCGGGGTTTCTACATCATACTCTCTACTATAAGCCCAACATAGGAGGATTGCTATACCCAGACCCCCGTGAGGATCCAAAAAGTAGATGCCTTAACGGGGGTTCCTATAAAGTGCCCTTAGTAGTATGGGGCCCCAAATCACTCCAAAGGTGGGATGAAGGTAGGTGGGATATTCCCACAGAAGCGTCCTTATATAAGGGATCCTTACTCCTACCTACCTTCATCCCACCTTTTGAGGCCTCCAAAATCTCCATTCGCCCGGTTTAAAGTTTAGGGTTCAGGGTTTAGGGGTTTAGGGGTTTAGGGTTTAGGGGTTTAGGGGTTAGGGGTGTAGGGGATTTAGGGGTTTAGGGGTTGGGGGTTTAGGTGTTTAGGGTTTAGGGGTTTAGGGCTTAGGGGTTAGGGTCGCGCAAACCCCATAAGCACGAATGTGGACAGGGAAAACCTTGTAAAGTGCTTATGCTTGCCATTGTGTCCTGTCGGGGGCCCCTAAGTACAGGGTCTGTAATTCATATATAGTCACAGTTTTTGCAGACTCGCCCAAACCCTACTCTACTCGTTGAGGCTCCATGTGGGAGCTTCCGAAAATTAGGGGTGCCTTATCTTGGGGTCCATGTAATCAGGATCCTACTATTTAGGGTACTGGATTAGGGTCCCCGATTTTAGGAAACCACCACAAAAATGCTACACCAGCTACGTTTTGGTCATTAGTCCCCTGTTCCAGCAGGTAATGTGGGCCGACTGCAAAGCTCTGACAGCTTCACACGCAGGGTGGAGTTGGGCTCTTAGCCTTTGCAAGGTAAGGCCCTCTTTGCCGAGTCTGCAACGGACGCATACAACCATGCCCTACTCTAAACCAAATTGGACTGAGAACACGGCCCTTTCCGCGGCATGAAGCCCTGAAAAGTGGAAGATTCAGTGGCCAATGAACTCCGCGGCTAAGGTGGTGAGAGTGATGAGCTTGGCAGTTTACAGTAGCAGTTCAACCAACCGTTTCACTATGGTGCATAGTAAAATGGCTGGTTGGAGAAAAACGTCAGAATCAGAAGGGAAAGAATACAAATAGCATCAAACAACAAAAGCAATGAGAGTGATAATGTCCTACTGCTGATGGACAAAATCCTGCATGACCTTAAGGACCCTAAACTATGGGAATTATGGTATATGCCTTATAATGGGTAATGCAGGATTTTGTCCATCAGCAGTATCCCGTCATCCCAAAACCAGACGTACTTCGCTTGAGGTGGACCATCCCAGACTTCAAGAAGGAGGCGGTTTAGGGTTTAGGGTTTAGAGGCGTGATGCAGCGCGACCCAGCGGGATTTTGAATAGCGTTGAAACTACCCATAGGCCCCAAAGTAGTTCCTTTTTGGGATTACTTTATAGGATTCTATATACGAACCCCGAAAGGAACTACTTTGGGGGCCTCAGGGTCATCTGATTGGGTGTCATATGGATTTGAATCAGCGTTTTCATTCGGAATTTTCGTTTTACGTGGGTTTAACCTATTAAAGCTCTGAGCGAAACATCTAGTGTTGCACTAGGCTGATGGTTGAATCTCCCTTCTGCTTAAGTCTGGGAAGACATGTTCACGCCCTTCGAGCAAGTGAGCTTCTTGTTGGAGATGTATCACACGTTCCTTTGGGTGTTCAAGGTGAAGACAGGCATGTTCTCATAAGATCATAGCGTGAGGCATAATGAGCAGTGGGCGGCTCGGGCAGGTTACATCCAAACCTTGGGTGATGCTGACTCAATGTCCTTGGGGATCGACAGCGACCTGCACTTGTAGATGTCAGCCTCGCAGACCAGCAGCGCAGCAGACGAATGGCTCCAGCAATCACGCACTTCAACCTCTGAACGCCGACCTAGTGCTAGTGATAGGGGGCCGCAGTGGAAGCGAACAAAAGCAGCGTTGATGCACTACACGGATGACTGTCGTTGCTTTCTATTTCTCGCTAGCTGGAATGTCAAGAAGAAATGTGTTCGGAAGTTTGTAGTATAATTATAAGTACCAGAAACCCTGTAACCCTTTTCAACCTTGTAATTTTTCAGCGACCCTAAAAGCCCCAAGCCTTAACCGCCCTGTAAAGCCTAAACCTTGAACCCGCCGTAAACTCAACCCTAAACCCTGAATCCGAAACCCTAAAGCCTTAACAGCTCTCTAAACCCTAAACCCCCAGAGACTCCAATATCCCTTAATTAAGGAACATGCCTTAAATTATAGTAGGATCCTTAATTAAGGAATATACCTTAATTTTTTTGTAGGATCCTTAATCAGATTTAAGGAATATTCCTTAATTAAGGGATATTGGAGTCTCTGTAGGATCCTTAGTTAAGGAATGTACCTTAATTTTTTTGTAGGATCCTTAATCTGATTTAAGGAATATTCCCCCATTAAGGGATATTGGAGTCTCTGGGTTGAGCCCATGGCCAGGAGCGAAGTACCGTGAGGGGCCAACCCCTCTGGTCTGGAGCTCAGCTTCGTAGTACACACTAAGGTATATAGTGTTTAGGGTTTAGGATTTAGGGTTTAGGGTTTAGGGAGACTTGCATAGTGTAGCTTCCTTTAAAGGGATCTATAAGGGTACTAGAAGGGATCTATAAGTTACTGTAAGAGATCTGTAAGGGTATTGTAAGGGTAATGTAGGAACCTGATCAAGAAACCTTGGTCCTTGGTAGGGTTCTTGATGTGGGTCCTACTATTTTGGGGGTTATAGGGCCAGAGTTTCTTAATCAGGTTCCTACAGTAGTGAATGGACCTTTCGCCTTCTTGAGGTACTAAAGAGGGGTTAGTAATTACCTATACTATTTTGGGGGCTGCCTGTTAGAATTACTACGTCATACTATAATATCCCCCCAAACCTTTTTCTGAATATTACCTGGCCCCAAACCACATGCTTCTTGATCATGGTTTACATGAGGAAATCATAATAGGGATCCCCCAAAAAGGTTAGGTTCTTTCGGGTCCAGGTAGTAATAGGGTATAGGGTTTTGGGGCAAGGGTGTTCTGTAAGTTCCCGGTTTAGGGCTTAAGGGTGTCATCACCGGACACCCAGCGTCCCTCTAGAGAACACGCCAAGCCCCCAGTTTCTGCAGGGTTCCGTCTTCCGACATGCCTTATGTAGACTATGCTAAAGATGACACTCCGTGCACTAGAGCTTTTGAGCTCAGGTCGCCGCGATTTAGCATTGCAGGCGTGAATGCGTGTGACCCGGAGGGATTCAAGTACAGCCCCCTTGTCAGGCCCTTCGGGCTCTTAGGGTTTCTTATCGGGTTTAGGGTTTAGGGTTTAGGTCCGAGGGTAAAGGGAGGGACCCTTAATGAGGACCCCTAGGTATATACCCTTAATATAGCTATTATATACCCATCATATAGCTCATTTAGGGTAGGGGTCCCTATTAAGGGTCCCTCCTTTTCCCCTTTGATTATAGGCTGCAGGGCTTCTGCGGTTTGGGCTTTGGGGCACAGGATTTCTAGAGTTTCGCTGCGAGGGCTGAGTCTGGGGTTTGAGATGTTCAAAGGGGAAAGGAGGGACCCTTAATGGGGTCCCCGACCCTACAATGGGCTATATAATGGCTATATAATAGCTATATTAAGGGCATGTACCTAGGGGTCCTTATTAAGGGTCCATCCTTTTCCCCTTTGCGATGTAGGGCGTATGCGGCTTCTGGAGTGGGGCTTCAGGCTTCGGGCGTGGTCGGCTCTCGTCCTTCTATGGCCTGCCTAGACCCCCCAACTACCCGTGGCCCAGAAGTACCTCTTACTTAGTGTGGAATATGAGACCCCTTCGAAGGGTAGCTGCGGGTTCCCAATATGTATATCCATATACATTTCTTCATAATTCAGGGATATTGGAGTCTTTGGGAAGCATCGTACCGATTGGTGGAAGCCAAACTTCGGTTGCTACCAAGGTTCTATCGATGTTCATGTCGACCTCAAACCTTGGAGGCTGAAGACCACTATTACACTATATGCAGGTGGTTCAGCCCAACACTTTCCTGTGCAGACGTATTGGCAGTATATCGAGTCAATGGTTGCGTGCTGTCCTCATGCTAATCGATGGGACGAGGAGGACAGGCATTCAATCGTTGCCTGAAGTGGCGATGGAAGGCAACACGTTCTGCAATTTTTCCTTTGGACGGGATCATGACGATGTCGAGGTGGACGTTGCGCTACGTGACCATTTACATTCCGTAATGCCATCAGTGTGGAGGACCCGCTAGGGTTTTGGGTCAAGTCGCAGGGCCCGAGCCTGAAAACCGAACATTCCCAACACATTGAATTCTGGGTTAAGGGCACTATCCTGAAGCACCGAACTCGCAGGCAAGGTTGAATGAAGCCTTTGAAGCTTACTAGTTCGATCCGCTCCCTAAACTCTAAGCCTTAAGCCGTAAACCCTGAGCCTTGAGCCCTAAGCCCTAAACCACTAAACGGCCCTCAAAAAAAATCACTAAACCCTAAGCCGCCGCTGAGAACGTCCGTTTGGAGTTCCTCCCGAAGGGTCGAGACAAGTCTTACGAAGGCCAGCGCCGGCTTCGCGTTACGGATTGGGGGGTCGAAGGGGGCATTTGAAGCACCCTTATTATGATTTCCTTATATGAGTGTTTAAAAGGTAGCGTATTTGGGGTTAAGGTACACCTTAAGTGGGCTCGATACTACTACGTCATGCTTATGTTCCTTGGTTACTTCATGGATGTTCAGTTCTTTGGGTTCGTGAAGAGGTTGGGAGCGTTGCGTTTGTCCACATGTTGATAAGCCCAACTTTCATGGCTTCTTGTTGCAGAACTGGGGAAAAAACTCCAGAACCCCTGTCAGCCCCTAACTGTATGAGCCCCGGATAAGATTCGCTTGTTAAGGGTACCGGCTTGGGCTCCACGTTGAGATTCCATGCAGGGGAGGTTTGGGGTTTAGGGTTTAAATAACCCTAAACCCTAAACCCTAAACCCTGGATTCAAGTCTCGGGGTGCGCAGATCACTTTTCGAACCTGAAAGTGCCAAAGCCAAGATTCCTGTATGCATCTTGAACCGTGAAGGCTATGCCACTGAGGCACTAAGCCCTTGCATTACTTAGGGGTACTTATAGAAATAATTTTGAATTTTTGGTTATTATAATCCCTAAGAAACAGCTAGAATTATATTTTTGCTAGGGTTCTAAGTTCAGTATAGATTATAGAACCCTTGTATTTACCCTGTAGTAACCCGGTAAACGGAACCCTATAGCAACCCCAGGAGCTCTGTTGCGACCCCACCGCAAGCCTCTGAAGTAACCCTCCCAAAGGCTCCATGTACGCATATAGTAGGTGCTTAGGCCTTAAAGGGGTCCCTATATGGCTACTTTAAGGCCTAAGTACCTGCTATATGGGTACATGGAGCCTTTGGGCCTGTGATAACGATATACCCTAAGGCCCCAAAGTAGTTCCTTTTTGGGGTTACCTTATAAGATTCTAAATATGAACCCCCAAAAGGAACTACTTTGGGGCCTTTGGGCAGCAACCCTCTAAAATGAGCTCTATAAGTAGTGCTCTATAGTAACCCATTGAAAGGAATTTTATAGTGCTGATTTGAGACGAACCCTATCGCACTCCTTAAAACGGGACCGATGGTAACCCCTTGCGCGGAACCGTATCGTATCGCCAAGCCCTCTTCGTAGCAGGATTTTGCTCGCTTTTCCTTTGGTGTCCGGCTGGCGTGAAGATCAGGCACTTCAGGGCCCTTTGGGGGCCCGGTTTAGGATTTAGGGTTTAGACGGTTTAGAGTTTAGGGCTTACGGGCTTCGAGTGGGTTGGAGGGTTGAGAGGTTTGAGATTTGCCTGAACCCTAGTTGTTGGGGCTTCTCCGACTGAACCCTAAACCTTACAATCCCGAAACCCCTAAGCTATACACGCTGACACCTGAACTCTGGCACCCCGAAAACCCTTAAGACCCTGAAACCCTATATGGGTGGTTGTCAAAATTATGGTCCCTTTTTGGGTCCCTAGTATAATCCGACACCGTAATTTAGGGTACCCCAAAAGGGACCCTAATTTTGACAACTACCCATCTGCAAAACCCCAAAACCCCTGAGCCCAATGTCTCCCGCAGAGAAAGAGTTTGGGATTTTGGGCGGGGCGGCCAGAGCTGCAACCCAAAATCCTTTAACTTGAAAACACCTGAAAATCTGAGGGGTTTTGGATTTAGGGGCTTTTCGGGGTTGAGGGTTTGGGATTAGGGCTTTTGGGGTCTTTTAAGGCCCGAAACTCTCACTAAGTGCTTTTGGGACTGAGGCTTCGGGTTTAGGTGGCTTACTTGGAAGGGCAGGGGACTTAGTAAGTCGGTTATAAGTAGAGTTAGAAGTACCCTAAATGGAGTTACCCCAATTATAAATATTATAGCCCTACTTATAACCTACTTACCCTTCCAAGTAAGGCTTCTAGCGCCGAGGGTTCAGGGCTTCGAGTCTCAGGTCCTTTTTTGGCTTTGGCAGTCTGGCGGAGACGTAGTCATAGGGACCCTTAGGGAGGGGTAAGGGACTATACATAGTCCTTATTATGGGTATTAAGGCCCCCCACCCCCCTTCCCCCTACCCCCTATAATTACCCCCTAAGGGTCCCTATGACAGTGCAGACAGGATGTTGGATACTGCGCCGTCTTCTGTAGGGTTCAGGATTTGTTTTTTCGAGGTTTATGGTTTGCTGCTTTGGGGTTTCGGGTTCTTACGGGTTTACTGGTTGGATTAGTTTTTCACCGCCCCCATTCTGTGCGATGAGCATTGTGTGAGGCGCGCCAAGGCATCTGCAACTGAGGACAGGCACATGTTGCCTACTATCCTTGCGGAGGGTATGTCAGCCATGCCCGTCTCGCACAGCAAAATGCCAGAAATGCTCCTTATTGCCCTTATTGCGGCCACCGCTTAAACCCTAAATCCGAAAGCATAAGCCCTAAAGTTTACAGCCTAAGCCTCAAGCCATAATCAGACCCTAAACCCTAAACCCCCAACCGTAGGCCCTAAACCCTAAGCCCCAAGGCATAATCAGACCCTAAACCGTGGTAGACCTTAAACCCTAAAGCCCAAATCGTTAGCCCTAACCCCTAAGATTAAAACTTAACACCCCCCCAAATATGAAATGTTGCTTTGTCCATCTTTTGGGCCCCTAGCCTGAAGCCATAATCGGACCCTAAACCCTAGACCCTAAACTCCTAAACCCGATGACAGGGAGAAAGACGATGACAAGAAAAGGGCGGAGGCGAGGATGAGTGATATGGAGGCTGCAATGGTTTCGCTGCAGCGGCAGATGGACTTTGTCGGTCGTATGACTGATGGCCGATGAGTGAGAGCGCGGCTTTAGTGAGCACCCACACACACACACACCATAGCAGCAGCACGGAGGATGGCAGCGGCAAGTTCGTGACTCCTGCCAACCGTCTCCGCCGATGTCATTCGGGGTCCCCTGACATTGAGATCGCGGGTCCCGAAAGGCGAGTTCGTCGCCGAGTGGAAGACACCTCACCCGGGAGTGGTATTGGAGTTGGGTCTCTGGCCGAGCTGTGGAACTGGTTGTTCCGTCGAGGGAGATCGACATTATCGCCACATGGTGCACCCCGAACGCCCTAAACTAAATCCTAAGCCTTCAGCCATAAACGGACCCTAAACCCTCGACCCTAAACCCTAAACTAAACTTTAAGCTTAAAGCCATAATCGGCCCTAAACCCCACCTTAACCCCAAGTAACCTACCTGTTTTAGGACTTATATAAAGAAATCATGTTAGGGAACCCTAAAAAGGCAGGTTCCTTAGGGTCCAGCTAAACCCCAAATCGCTGTAAACCGCTAAATTCCCTAAACCCTGGAGGTATCAGCTCTGGGGTCGGACCCTAAACCCTAGACCCTAAACCCTAAGCCCTAAACTAAAGCCTGAGCCTTAAGCCATAATCGGACCCTAAACCCCTAAAGCCCTAAACTAAACCCTAAGCCTTAAGCCATAGTCGGACCCTAAACCCTAGACCCTAAACCCTAAACCCTAAACTAAGCCATAGTCGGACCCTAAACCCCTAAAGCCCCAAATTCCTCAAACCCTAAACCCTAAACCCTAAACTAAACCCTAAGCCTTAACCCTAAACCCTAGACCCTAAACCCTAAACTAAGCCATAGTCGGACCCTAAACCCCTAAAGCCCCAAATCCCTCAAACCCTAAACCCCAAGTCCCTAAACCGCTAAATTCCTCTAAAACCCTGGAGGTATCAGCTCTGGGTCGGTAGCTTCCTCAAGGCGCCTGACCTGGATGAGTGCCCTGGGCTGACCTTGAAGGGTTTAGGGTTTAAGGTTTCAGGGTTTAGGGGTTTAGGGTTTAAGGGTTTAGGGTTTAAGGGTTTAGGGTTTAAGGGTTAGGGGTTTAGGGTTTAGGGTATATAGGGGCTTTGAGTTTAGCGGTTTAGGGGTTAGGGTTTAATGGTTTAGGCTTTAGGCTTTAGGGCAACTACAGGGTTCAGGGTGTAGTATCAAAACCTTGGGGGGGGCTGACCTTGCAGGTTTTAGGGTTAAGGTTTCAGGGGCTAGTTTAGCGCCGGTTTAGGTTTTAGTACCAAGACCAGTGTTGTTTGCATATTTTCCGAAGAGCCCCTCGTCATCAGGTTCTGAATAGAACCTACAAGAAAGTAGGTTATGGTAGTTTTAGGGAGTGGTTAGGTTTCAGTTTTTTGAGTTTTCCGTTTGTGCGGCTTTTCCGCTGGTTAAGATTTAGGGCTACGAAGAAAAGAAGACACGAAAGAGAAGAGTCATAGGTACGCAGGCACAACAAGCGGCACAGTGGCAGAAAACACATGACAGACATCCGGAAACAACCATCAAAGCTTTAGCCAGGTTTAGCCTTATTGAGACATGAAAACGAGTTCGAAAATGCGGGAAGAAGGAAACCCGCCAACAACAAACGGCGAACACGCAGGAAAAAACCTTGCCTGCAAGTAAAGCTGTAAACCCAATCCACCTGAAGCCAAAGCCCTAAACACCCCGACCCTAAACCAATTCAGCCCCCCTCCAAGACAAAGCAATCAAGAGTGACCCACAACACCCCATACATGCCTACACCCGACCCAAATGCTTGGCGACAGTATCTAGCAATAAAGCTAGGTTCCCCAGTGGTAGCCTCTTGCCCAAAACAACAAATCGAATCCTAGGAAAAAGGATACCCCTACTGACTGTTCAGAGAAGCAATCACCAACCGAAACGATTATGTCAATGCTTTGGACCAAAAGTGCAGATATGCCCCTTATAACTAGAGGCAATGAGGTACCTTAACACAAACACACACCCTAAACCCCGAAACCCTACACCCAAATCCGCAAAAGACTGAACCCTAAGTCCTCATTCCTACACCCTTCAACAGAATTCCAGGTACAAAGGGGAGATAGGCCATGGGCATTCCAACTTCTGTCCCCTAGAACCGGAGGCTGGCTCAGTAAGCAAGATTGTCAGGATTTAATGTAAAATATAAGGGGCTTCAACCACTTGCACAGGGTTTTGCGGTGTCTTGCAGTTTACTTTTATAAAGGTACAAGGCTGCTAGGACTAGTTATTCGTTGAGGGTTTAGGGCTTTAGGGTTTATATGTAGGAACCTGATTAAGAAACCTTGGGCCTTTATTAGGGCTCCGTATATGAATCCTGCTATCTTGGGGTTATGGGCCCAGGGTTTCTTAATCAGGTTCCTGCATTTGGGGTTGGGGGAAGGGGTGTGGGGGCTGCTGCTGCCTTTTGCGGTCATTTCTCCCATAAGAAGGATGCGGGCTCTCATTCAGCTTCTCTGCTTTCTGCAACCCCGCTTGGGCTTCTGATTTTTCGCGCATTTAGGGTTTGGGGCGCAGGTAGGCTTTAGTACAAAGTTGGGGGTTTGGAGTTTCAAGTTTGGGGGTTCAGCTGTTTCGGATTTGGCTCTGGAGGCGCGTGGCTTAGGCGGTGTTAATCCTGAGCCTAATTGCCTAGGAGAGAATCTTGCGGCTGCTCGTACCAAAAGCAAAAGACACTTCGCAAGTGCATGTAATACAGGGGCCGAAATGATTACCAATACTATTGTGGGGTTCGTTAATATGGTTATAGTGTAATGCATCCCGAAACCCTAATCTAATTATCAAGCTATGTATGAAGTATGCATGAATGTCTCTGTGCTTTTGTTGTATTACGTGGCTGTGCGCGCATGCCAGTCCGCATTTGCCTGGCTGCCAGCGTGCAGACATGCACGGACGCATGCATGTTTCCATGCTTGTGTACATCTTGTATATATGCATATATACATGTGACATTTACATTCACAAATAATTTGATTTATATACCAGAAAGTATGCATAGACATACATATGTACATATAAATATACATATGTGCACGTGCATATACATGCATGTATACATATGCAGACACACAACAGGTATGCATGTCTACTTGTGGAGAGAGCAAGGGCGGGAGAGAGAGAGCGAGAGAGAGAGAGACAGGGAGAGAGAGAGAGAGAGATAGAGAGAGAGAGAGAGAGAGAGGGGGGAGATAATGCACTACTTGAAGTCCGTGGGCGCCTTGCTTTTGTCCGAGACGCTCGTGCGGTTCGGACATAGGAGGAGTCCAAATCCCAGGCAAAGTATTCCTGAACCTTAAACTGCCCCTTAAACTCTAAACCCTAAGCACCTGTTTTAAGCTGAAGCCATAAACTTTAAGACCTAGATCCCTCAGCCACTAAAGAGGACGCTAGGCCCTGGAAATGCAGCAGACCCAAAAGCCCGAAGCGTCTGACCACTACCTGCAGGCTTACCTGGAGCCTTAGTAACCTACATTCCCAGAGACTCCATTGTCCGTTGATGAAAGAGTCTTCCTTAACTCAAAATATAACGGGATCCTACCAAAAATTTAATGTGGATTCTTTACTTAAGGGATATTGGAGTCTCTGGGTTGTCCCTAAACCCTAAGCAGGAAATCGTCATCGGGATCCCCCGATTGAGGTAGGTTCTTCAGGATCCAGGTTAGCTCTAGAGACCCTGACGTGCTGCAAAGGAGGCCATCAACCTGATATAGGGGCCTTGATAATTTCCTATAGTCTTTTTTTAGGGGCCTTGATAATTTCCTATAGTCTTTTTTTAGGGGCCTTGATAATTTCCTATAGTCTTTTGGGGGTTCCTTACCATATTTATAGTATAATGGGCCCCAAAACCCTATTCTAACATTAAGGCCCCTATATTGGTTCCAAGCAAGCACTGGGCTTGCAGCGACAATTCAGGAGCGGCGGCCGAAAAGCTGGTCAAGACCAAGACATGCCGCTTGCGGTTCGGATTGCTTGGTAGCGGTCCCACGGCGAATCACGAAGATGAAGATAATTGCAGGGGCCTCCATGTGGCTGCCGCTTCTTGAACCAAACTGTTGCTGCATTGGCTCCATCGTCATTTACGTGGACGCCTATACAAATGTCGGCAGTGCCAGGTTCAGGAGACTGCTTGCCACACCACCATCACCCTTTCCAACTCAGGGAAGACATGCCTCGGCGACTTCTGTGGGGGTTTTTTGGGTGGAGGATCTGTGTGGTGATGTCACAAGGTTGGTGAACGGCCCTCTTTTTGAAAGGTCGCACCCACAACAATCGAAAGTGTAACACGTTCGATGGATCCCGGCTGCACGGCCCAATATGGGAGTTTCCGAGAATTAGGGGTACCTTATTTTGGAGTCCTTATAATAAGGATCCTACTTTTCAGGGTGCTAGATGAGGGTCCCCTATTTTCGGAAACTCCCAATGTCTTTCACAGGGGAGCGTGTCACAATCTGTTTTTTCTCGATCAGCAGGCTTTTGGTTTTGGGTTTAAGGCTTGACGGATCAGGGCTGTAAGGATTTGCATATATTGCACTGTAATTACGATAAGGAGCCCTAAGGAATAAACTGGTAATTATTGGGTTGAGGGTTTAGGGGTTTAGGGTTTACCCATAGGCCCCAAAGTAGTTCCTTTTTGGGATTTCCTTATAGGATTCTATATACGAAGCCCAAAAAGGAACTACTTTGGGGCCTTAGGGTAGCTTCTATAGTAGGGTTTGGGGCTTGCGCCGTCAGGGCTGCTAGGGGCTGAGGGTTTATACTAGAAGCCAGAAAGTTGGAACATGGCTTTAGGAGGATTCGAGCTAGGATCCCTTATACATTACCTTAAGGGCATGAGGATAGTGATATTCTAACTTTCTGGCTTCTACCATAGAGGAAGCAACCCGACAGTTGGGTAACTAAGATATGAGAACTTCTCTATTTTCGGGTCCCGGTTTGGGTCGCCCAGATAGTGCGGCACCCTTATAAAACGGACCCTTGGAGCGCTCCGGATTCAGAGAATTACGCCTTTAGTAGGATCATGTCAAGTACTGTGTGGCCGTATGCTCTTGACTTGAAGGGGCTTTGGGTCTTTAAGTCAAGAGCCAAGAGCCGTTAGCCCCACTTCTACGCGTACTGCCGCTACAAACCCAAAACCCCAAACATCTACCCCTAAAACCACACTCGAACCCCCTGACCCTGCACCTGCACGTGCTGCGAGATCGACCGGAAAGCAGACTCTATCACGGTCGGTGTTGACATTATCGAGGCTCTCATTGTGGTGCTTCAGCGGCTCTATTTTAGGCTTTTGGTTCAAGTTTGAGGGTTTAGGGTCAAGGGTTTTCAGGGTTCCCGGTTTAAGGTTTAGGGTTCGGGGTTTGGGGTTTCAGAGTTTGGGGTTTGCCGGGCTGTTCTTGTTCTTGTTCTACAGCGGGAGGATCAAAACGACGGTGCCCCTAAACCCTAAACCCTAAACCCTAAACACTAATGTATTCCTGTTGCAAGGGCACTGCCCCGGTAACAGTACGACAATGATGTATATAGTATATAGTTATACGTAGCCCTTATTAGTTAGTATGGCCCCTAACAACATATTTATATGGAAATGTTACAAGTAGCCGTAGAGTCCTGATTTAACATGACGACCCCTAACAATGACTGTTGCGGGTGGGGCGCAGTACCTAACCGGTGCACCCGATACCCTCGGACCATTTCAGATCACCGAGGCAGGCTCAAAAGTAACTAAACCCTAAACCCGAAGCCCCTAAACCCTAAACCCCTAAACCCTAAACCCCTAAACCCTAAACCCTAACCCCTAAACTTAAAACCCAAAACCCTAAACCCTAACTAACGAGTAGGACGTAGGGTTTCTATGGGTTCCTTTGAGGGTTCCTTTAAGGCAGGGCTCAGGGCAGCTTCGTGTCCCTCTCAGCGGTTCGGAAGTACCTATGATAGTAGAAAGTAGAGTTCTACAGTAGGAGCTACTGTTATGGTTTAGGTAAATCTCTCCCCAATTACGTACTTAGGACCCTTTGGCATTTGGGTTGTGGTAGCTCTATAAACCACGTAAGCCTTCAACTCCTTGACATGTGTTTGTTCTTTTGGGATGTGGTGGAGACAGAAGCTTTGGCTCTTATGTGGCTGCTCGAGGGTTGCAAGCGATTCGGAGCGTGGTGTCGATAGCAGTAGTAGTAGTAGTAGTAGTAGTAGTAGTAGTAGTAGTAGTAGTAGTAGTAGTAGTAGTAGTAGTAGTAGTAGTAGCAGTGGCAGTCGTTGGTAGTAGAAGCGCTGTGGACGAGATAAACAGCAACCGGGACTCAATTTACAAGAGACCCCAAGCCGTCCCAAGCCCCAGTTGCCAACCTAACCCTCAACCCTAAATCCTAAACCCTCACAATCCCCCCCTGTATTTGTTGCAGGTCATCATCAGCCATGAGCTGACAGAGAAGGGTCAGACACCGAGCGGGCGTCAAGGGTTATTTTTTAGGGTTTAGTACTACTGTTGATGGACAAAATCCTGCATGACCCTAAGGGCTCTAAACTATGGGAATTCTGGTATATTCCTTATAAGGGGTAGTGCAGGATTTTGTCCATCAACAGTAGTACTGTAGGATTTATGTTTTAGGGTTCAGGGTTTAGTGGGGTTGAGGGTTTAGCTGAGTTCATTTTGGGGATCTGATCGGGCTCGGTCGTAATTTCATGTGATCCCCTCGATCTATTTGGGCTAGGTCTTGCAGTGCATGTCTGCTTTTAGCCGCTACAAATTCGAAACCCCAAACAACCTGAGAATCGTTCCAGTTTAGTTTAGGGCTTCAGCCAGGTTGGCAAGGGTGGATCACATTGGTCTACATTGCATCTAAGCTTCTTGGATCTATACAAGCCCGTATACTAAGCCCCTTGGCTCTGTAGGAAGCCTCATACTACGCACCGTGATTACCCTTTTCATCCCTAAACTCCCAAGCACTTCTAGAAATCCGAACACTCACGGTTTCCCGCTCTCGGCCATTGTGAAGGTCTGACGCTGACCTCTTGGCCACTGCAGAGGCTAGTCGCAAAGGAGGCCGAAGAAGGGTGAAGCTGTCCTGAATCCTATACATGGGTGGTTGTCAAAATTAGGGGGTACCTTTTTGGGTCCTTATTCTAGTACGGCACCTATGATTTAGGGTACCCAAAATGGGACCATAAGTTTGACAACCACCCACATGCAGTGCCAAGCCTTTCGAAATCCTCTGTGTTTTGAGGTATATGCTGTGACAATGCCGGTAAAACCTACAATCGCCAAGCTGACGTATATAGTAGAGATCACTTTCCTGGATGTAAACCTAAAGCCCTCGAACTCGGTTTAGGGTTCGAACAGATGCAAACACCACGAGCAACACCCGAAATTCCTGAATTGGAGCGATAAGCCCACTAAGATATAAAAACTACCTACAGTCCAAACCTATATGCACTAAAGCCCACCCGAAACCCTACGATCCAAAATCCCGAAACCCCAGATGGCCCTAAACCCTAAACTGGGCCTAAACCCTAAATAACACCCCCTCCCCCCCTCCACCCAAAAAAAATACGGCCCACAACCCTAAACCACTGCTTCGATCCGTAGTCTTCGTCTAGGGCCTACCCCCCAACCCTGGCCCTAAACCCTAGACCCCCAAACCGTAAATGGCCGTAAACCCTACAAGCCCTAAACCCTTCAAACCCCCAGCCCTAAAAACTTAAACCCTAAACCCAAACCCTAAGTGGCCCCAAACCCTCTTTGCCAGGCCGAAGTCTTGGAAAACCGCGGGGTGAACCAGGTCATTTGGAAGATCAACAAGGCTTGGTTTAGAGTTTACTTGGAGGGGCAAGGGACTTAGTGAGTAGGTTATAAGTAGAGTTATAAATACCCTAAATGGAGTTGCCCCAATTATAACCCTACTTATATCCTACTTACTAAGTCCCCTGCCCCTCCAAGTAGGGTTTACAGGTTTTATCGGGTTTAGGATATATAGGGGTTTCGGGTCTAGGGCTTATAGGGCTTATAGAGTTTGGGGCTTGAGGGTTCATAGGGTCGGGTTTAGAGCCTCTGTGTGCCTGCGCACGTGCACGTGTGTGAGTGTGAGTTTTTGAGTTCAATCAACGTGATCGTTTATTTTCTTGATGTTAGGGGATATTTATCTTCAGGGCCTATATATTATATACTATATTTAATTATATATATATATATATATATATATACATACATGTCGCGTTTAATTATAGCGTATAAAGGTTAAGGCTCCAGCTCTAGTTCAGGACTTAGCCCAGGCTTAGGTGTAGAGAGTTCGGTTTTCCCGGCCACAGACTGGGGGAGCAAGTCTGTTCCCGCAAAACCAGTATAACATTTAATTCAGAAGTACGTCAGCCTCGAGAAGGCTATCGAAGCCCCATGAAGCATTAAGGGTTCAGTGCTTAGGGCAAAAAGAGTCAGAAGAGCCCCTGAAGGTCCAGGTACCTCAAAAGCATATACTTCCTTGCTGTCTTCTGAACCCTGTGACCCAAGTCTCCCCAAGCCTACTAAACCTCGCACGGAAGGGGAATTCGAAGAGGGAAGATTCTTCCAACCGGGTGTGAACGAAGTCCCGTGCCTAATGCATGCTCCAAATCCTTGCGAAGCTATAAATCCTCAACCCGAGCCGTTAAAACCCTACATTTATGCCACGAAAAGATCTCGTCGGACAGATCTCCGAATGCATGAAGAACTACCCACGCGGGTCGTCCATGCCGCATGCCGAGCCGATGTGCGGTAGGAGGGACTTGAGGTTCAGGGTTTAGTGTCGGGCTGGTAGTCAGGGCTCTTGAAGGGCTCCTTAAAGGGATCTATAGGGTTCCGTAAAGGGGTCTATGGGGTTTAGGGTTTAGGGTCTATAGGGTTCAGGCTTTAGTTTTGTTTCGCAGTCTCGGCATCAGGAACCTTTCTGTTCAACGGTGTTCGGGAGTGCAGAAGATGTTTTAGAGCAGGCTTAGCTGCGCTGCGGATGTTCAAGGACCCCCTATCCCGAGTACACATCCTGCTTCAAGGCCTGGGCAATCAGAAGCATAGAGTACTGTACTACAAGGGCTCGAACCACTTGTCTTTTAACAAGCCTATGGCAAGGAGGGGACTGCAAAGTCCTTTGCCAAGCCCTCAGCATCAAACCAATCAAAAAATTACAATCGGGGTTTGGGGTATATTGTATTATAACTTTAAGGAGCCCTCCAAAAAATCGTAAAGGCAATTCTTGAGGCCCCTATAGTAAGAGTGGATGCCCATGGCAGCAGAGGGAAGGTCGGCTGGTGGGCTCGCTTATGGGGTGTTGGAGTTGCTTTTTTGAGCTTGGGCCTTTGGGTGTTTAGGGTTTAGGGTGTTTAGGGCTTTAGGGTGTTTAGGGCTTTAGGGTGTTTTGGGCTTTAGGGGTTTAGGGTTTAGGGCCTTTGGGTGTTTAGGGCTTTAGGGTTTAGGGGTTTCGGATTTAGGATTTAGGGGTTTCGGATTTAGGGGTTTAGGGATTTAGGGTTTAGGGGTTTCGGATTTATAGGGGTTTAGGGATTTAGGGTTTAGGGGTTTCGGATTTATAGGGGTTAGGGCCGCTCTAACCGAGGATTCTCAACATGGAATGGCGTAAGGGCTTGATTCGGTAGGGGTTCAGGGTGTAGGGGGTTTGAGAGGGGACTCTCGGCAGATCTTGCATTCGGACTTTTCCCCAACTTCAACTCCCTAAGGCTCCATGTACCTTTATCTACTATTTGCTTAAGAACCCCCAAAAAATAAAAAATATATTCCTTATGGGGGTAATATAGGGATTATTATTTTTATTTTTTGGGGGGTTTCTTAAGCAAATAGTAGTTATAGTTGATACTTAAGCCGTAAAGGTGTCCCTATGTAGGTACTTTAAGGCCTAAGCTTTTACTATAAGGGTACATGGAGCCTCAGGGACTAGGAGTCTCCAGAGCCGCGTGGTTTTCATGCAAAGTAGCCGGAGTGATGCCCGAAACCCTACCTGGACCCCAAATAATTTACTTTTTTTAAGGACCTATAATTTAGGGTTTAGGGTTTAGGGTACTTTTTTTGAGGACCTATAATCATAATACACGGAACCCTAGAAAGGAAGGTTTTACAGGGTCAGGTAAGCCGTGTCGGTCAATCAGTCTGGTGCGGGCTTCAGCTGAGATCTCCAGGTGCAGCAAGTCCTTCACTGCAGGAGGAATCAGCGAGATTCTGCAGGGGGCCCGGGGCAAAATCCTCCGTAAAGGCTACCTCAGCCACTGAAACTTAAGTTTCTACACATTGCACTTGCAACAGTATGATGTAATTGAGGACAACACATTGAGTTCTTAGACGCGACTCCGCAGCATAGCACACAGCACGTCCGAAGCTGTCTGCCCCACAATGGTGCTAGATCCTCCCTAAACCCCTAAACCGCAAATCCTAAACATCCCTAAACCCTATAATAGGCCCTAAACTCTTGACCCCTAAACCGCTAATTCCAAACCCCCAGCATCCTTACGTGCTAAAACCTAAAACCCCACTGGCCTCGAGGTTTTCTGCGGGCTCGTGGTAGGGTTGACTTGGCCCCTAAGGAAGCCCAACTGTCTCAGATAGTCAACGGGGGAACTTCAAACTTTTTGGCCTTATATGTTGGCTCGATCTTAGAAAGTTTGAACTTTTTTGGGGCCCGGTTGTTGAAGAAGAGAGCTTTTTAAGGAAGTAAGTACAGAAATCTTAATAAGGATCCCGGAAAGGGTAGGCTGTTAAGGTTTGAGGTAGGGGCTAAGGGTTTAGAGTTATTGCGGCTCAGGCTTCGGGGGTTGAGATTGATTGAAGGGTTGAGGGGTTGAGGGTTTTGGGTTTAGGGTTTGGGGTTTAGGGTTTAGGGTTTAGGGTTGAGATTGATTGAAGGGTTTGGGGGTTGAGGGTCTGGTGTACGCACGCCTCTCTAGGAACCTAGCTCAAGTGAAGGGTTTAGGGTTTAGGGAATAAGGAAAGAAGCTTGCCTACTGTCTATTTCCAGTCGTACCTTTGGGGTACCCTTCCGGTACAAAAAGCCATGGTGCTGCCGTATGCGGGCACTCAAGATCCCATCAAGATCTTTAAACCCCACCCAGAAAATCACAATGGACTCTTGTGGAACCCAAACTCCCTGAAGCCCCCAACCCCTCACCCAAAGGCTCCATGTACCCATATAGCAGGTACTTAGGCCTTAAAGTACCTTTTTAGGGACCCCTTGAAGGCCTAAGAACCTACTATATGGGTACATGGAGCCTTTGGGTCAGCCCATGGCATGAAGAACCTGCTTGGAACAGATTTCCATGTGGGAGTTGCCGAAAACTAGGGGTACCACATTTAGGGTTCCTTATAATAAGGATCCTACTATTTAGGGTGCTTATCCTACTATTTAGGGTACTATATTAGGGTCCCCTGTTTTCGGAAACCCCCATGTCGACTGGCCGTCTGAGGATGGAGTTTTACCCCAATGGCAGCCAGATCACCAAGAAGGACACTCCCTGGACCCCCAAAAGTATGTAGAATTATAGCCTTTTATGGGTCTTGGGCCATTATTTTACCTACTTTGGGGGGGGGTTTTAGGTTGTGGCTCAGGGTATGGGGCTGAGGGCCTAGGCGAGATCATTTCCAATGGGGTTCCACGGAAGTGACGGGCTTCCCCCGATTCGATTATTTTGGCTTCACATTTTCGATATTTTCCAAAAGTCTCCATTGCAGTTCCTTCTTGGGGTTACCTTTAGGATCCTGAATATGAAATTGGTTAAAGAAAAAAAGGAACTACAATGGAGCCTATAGGTAGGGTTTCGGGTTTTGGACTTTGGGATTTGGAGGAGAGGCAAGCAATGAACCAGGCACCAGTCTAGTTTGTGAACAGAATCAACTCTATAGACCATAATCCCTAAACCCCCAAACCCTAGACCCCAAACCCTAAACCCTTCACCCCAAAACTCTAGAACGTAGACCCTAAAACCCTAAATCCTTCACCACAAACCCTAGAACGTAAACCCCTAAACCCAAAACCCTACACCCCAAAACCTTACACCCTAGTCCCTGCGCCTCTGCTCCAGAATTGTCGCCATGGGTTTATCAGAACCCGGGCCCACCAAACATGCTCAAAGCCTGAACTTATAGACCCTACCTGGACCCTAAGAAACCTACATGTTAGGGTTTAGGGGTTTAGCGTTTAGGGGTTTAGGGTTTAGGGTTCCAGATTATGATTTCCTTTTTATGAGTCATTAAAAGGGTGGGTTATTTGGGGTGTAGAATCCCTAAGCTCTGTCCACCCCGAGACTCTTATCCTTTAGGTGGGGCTTCAAAGGATCTACTATCCCAGGGATATACCCCATAAGTCTGGGTCATTGCTTTCGATTGCCTAGGGTTTTGGGGAGTCTCTTAGGCCCATGGCCCCACGCCCTGTCTATAAAATCCCCAGACCCGAAAACCTAGCCCCAAACCCTGGCAGGACGGCCACTGCTCGTTCTACCTGAGGCCAACTGATGCTCATTAATCACGGCTCATGGTTTTTGCAGGGTCCCCTACCTGAAAATACGGTGCAGGTGTAGGTATATTGGTTTTAGGATGTTTGGCGGATGAGAGTTTGGGGCTTTGGGTTGAAAGTCTGGGGTTACAGCAGAGTTTGATCATGCAGCCCCAAACGGTTCTTAGTGAGTGATGCTTTGTGGCAGGTGTCCTGATGGCGTGTCAATGATCGTCACCCTCATCGTCGGCAAGACGAGAAAGGCGACAAAAGATCATACTGGTGCCCAGGCTATTCCAGGCTTACCGAGGATGCACGCATGCATACGTACATACATAAATGCGGACGGACGGACAGACAAGACAGACCGACAGAGACCGAGACCGACGGAGACAGCGACAGGGGCAGAGACAGACGCGAGACAGACAGATGTATTACATATGTATATATATATATATATATATATACACACACACCTACACATACACATACGCATACACAAACATACACAAATACACATACATACACCTATACCTCTACCTCTACCTTTATACCTGTACCTATACCTATACACATATTTCTGCACCTATACCTGTACCTATACCTTTATACCTATACTTATACCAATACGTATGCATTTACATATACATATAAATATACATAAGAAAGTATATGTGCACATATACATACACCTACACAGAAATACATATATGCACAAGCATTCCATGCTGATATTTTCCAGTCTACCAGTATATGCCCTAAGACCCAGCTCCTTGTTCTATTAGTTGAGGCACCTGCATGATGCACGCAGGAAACCTGCTACACACTCCCAAGCGCCAAGATTTAGGGTTTAGAGTTTGGGGTTTACCACCATGAAAACTAAACGCTAAACCAACGAGCAACAATAGAGCTTCAGGCATGAATATGCTTGAAGTTATGAGGAGCTTAATACATTGATGTACGGTCGTATGTTCCTGATACAAGTGGTGGTGGGTTCTTTGGGTGGGCACAAGTATCCGAAACCGCAAGCCCGCATTCAGTGCTTTGGCACAAAGCCAGTGTTGACGCCCAAAGGCGGGTTTAGGGTTTAGGGTTTGCTTACCTTTGGTTAGTAGGGAATGGAAGAATGGTAGTAATAGTAATTATAATTGTACCCCATTCCTCCATTCCTTACTAACCAAAGGTAAGTTTAGAGGCTCAACTCTTCCGAAAAAGTCCACTTAATTTCGAAAAGACCCTGTAGTGGAGCAGGCAAACTTTAGCCTTTTTGAGGTACTGTATCAATCCCGACACAATCCACTTAGAACTCTACTTATAAAACCTACTTACTAAGTCCCCTGCCCTTCCAAGTAGACCCTAAACCCTAAACCCCATAGGCCCCTTTAAGGAACCCTAAAGATAAGGTGCCCTTAAGAGCCCTTACTAAGTCCTACCCCCCATACCACAGGGGCCCATCAAGACCACCTTCGACACCGCCTCGGGGAAGGGTCTCCCGGACTTTTGCCCTGTGAAGGACCCGGCTGGGTGAGGATTCAGGGTTTTGGGTTTTGGGTTTAGGGTTTAGGGTTTTGGGTTTAGGGTTCATAAGGGTTGATTCAACAAAATTAGGGACCCCAGAAAGCACATAATCAGAAGCATTTTAAAGGGGTATCCCTGCCTTATTGGGGTTCTTGAAAAGGGGGGTTTATATGGGATATCCCTATCTTACTTTTTGCTTCTGTGCTTGTTTGGGGCCCTGAAAAGGGACGTAGGGCTAGGGCTTGTGCGGATTAGAACAGGGTGCCTTTAAAGGGGTCAATGAGGGTTACCATAGGGGATACGAAAGGGCTTTATGAGATAGGGGCCTAAATAGTTGCCAACACTATTTTGGGGGTTCGCAAGTATAATTGCAGTAAAATGGGCCGAAGCCCTTGCTCTAACTATTTACACCCCTACACTGCGGATTTTGCGGTTTAGGGCTGAGGGCTGATGTGATCCCCGCATACAATACATAACAATACTTATTAGTATACTATCCCTATAATTCTCCGTGAAACCCTGTTCAAATTAGTGCTAGGCCAAGGCCCCTTATGCTGACGCTGTCTGTTGGCGTCTTTGTCCAATGAGGTCGCTAGGCTGCGGGTTGAAGGGCGTGCGAAATATCCACCGAGCATGGACAGATAACTGCGGAGTAGCTCAGTCAAAAGCTAAATAATCGGGGCATCGATCAAGACAAGACAACGTGCCAGGAAGCACTAAAACCCTAAACCCCAAACCCTGAAAACTGATCCTGGACCCTAAACCCTAAACCCCAAACCCTTGACAGTGATCCTGGACCCTGACAAACCCTAAGCCCTAAGACCTAAGCCTCAAACCCCAAACCCTAAAACGGATCCTGGACCCTAAAATCCCTACACCCGAAAACCTAAACCCTGAAACCCAAAATCCTAAGCCCTAGACACTACCCTAGACCCTAACTGGACCCAAAAATCCCTAAACCCGCAAACCAGCTTGGAGGATGAAATCAACTGGGACGACGACTCAATAGAGGCCACTTTGCTTTGCACGGCTTCCCACAGACTCCAATATCCCTTTAATGAAAGAATATACTCAATTATAGCAGGATCCATAATATGATTTAAAAGGTATATTCCTTAGTTCCCTTAAAGAACCCTTATAGAACCCTTTAAGGAACCCTAAGGAATATTCCTCAATTCAGTATGGGAGTCTCTGCGTTTGCTTGGCAGGAACCGTCTAGCTCCCGCCCGACCTAGCGTCGAACCGACAGCTGGCCCGTAGCGCGAACCCTAAACCTAAATCCCAACAGCCCAAAATTTGGGAAGCATTGAGTCCCGCAGCCCCCAACATCAAAACCCCAAACCCCAAGCCGTTTAGGGGGGTTCCTCTAAAGGGATCTATTGGGGGCTCCTTTTTTAGGATCTGTGGGGGTTCCTTTAAAGGGATCTATAGGGGGTGCACCCGAAAACCTCAAGTAGCCTGGGTTTAGGTGCTGAGAATTGCGGAGCAGTATGGTTGTTGTTTTGCACTTGGGGGCTCCCGGAGAGACGCAGACCCCTGCAGTAAGGAATATTCCCTACAGCCCTCCAAGGGGCTGTTCAACATACATACATACATACGTACATGCGTACATGACATACATGTATGCATGCTTGCTCTCACAGCAACCCGTGATAGCCTTCTTTTCCTTGCGCTATCTCCTCAAGCTTTACTGCTCCACGCAGTGTTGTTCTGGGTGTTTAAGAGTCTTGGCCCAATGAAGCTTTCGAACAGAGCATGAGCTTGAGCAAGTGCGTCCCCTCTTGCTTAGTTGGCTTGAATAAGTCTGAGACAGACCTTTGTAAACGCGGGTTCAAGGTTTAGGGTTTAGGGGTTTATTGTTTAGGGTTTAGGGTTTATAGGGTTTAGGGCCAGGGTTTAGGGGTTTAGGTTTTAGGGTTCCGAAGCCGGGATCAACAACTGGTCTCACGGGTATCGGCTCTGGGGTTAGGGCCTTCCGAACCTCAGCCGAACTCTACTTTAAATTCTGACTTCCGGGTGGAGACCTATAACCTTTTGATTTTGGGATGTATGTATGTATACGTACGTACGTATATATATATATATATATGTACATATCATGTTGTATATGTGTATGTATATACATATGTATTGTGCAACCAGAAGTTTTATGCTATTTTTCGCGAGGCCACGGTATTCAAAGTCCTAGACCCTGTACCCCATCCAGCCGCCAAGTCGCGGCCCCAAGCGATCACGAAGCCTCGTGTGCCTGAGTCCCTAAACCCTACTTGGAAAGGCAGGGGACTTAGTAAGTAGGTGATAAGTAGAGTTATAAGTACCCTAAATGGAGTTACCCCAATTATAACCCTACTTATAACCTACTTACTAAGTCCCCTGCCCTTCTCAGTATGCGGTTTTGAATGGGTGGGCGAAGGTCGGCATCGAGTTGCAGAACAGACCGAGCAAGCCTTTCGGCCAAGAGTTCGTTTTTGCGTCATCCGGCTTTAGGGCCTACCCATAGGCCCCATAGTACTTCCTGTTTGGGATTAACTTGTAGAATTCTATATATGAACCCCAAAAAAGAACTACTTTGGGGCCTATGGGTAGGTTGGCGTGAAGGCTGCCGGGTTTCAGGTTGAGGGTTTCGGGTGCAGAGGTTTTTCTTGCTGGCTCACTCATAGGTACTTGAAGGTCGAGAGATCAGGCTGTCGGGATTTGGGATTTCCGATTAAGGTCGGCAGTTGTTGGGAGCTTACAGCTCGGGGGACGAGGGGCCCAACCGTGTACAAGCAACGACACTTCCGTATATTTCAATCAGAACCATGCGAGCAGAGGCTTGGGGTTATAATTAAAGTTTACGTATATCACCATCTCGACGCTGAAATCCCGAAGTCTAGAATTCCAAACTGTTGAATCTTACAGTCTTAGTCGATCGATGGGTTCCAGCAAACATCTCCAAACATGCCCATTTTGTTGTGTGTAGTGCGGAAGTTAAGACTCAGCAGTTCCACTTGTAGACCGCTCAAGCGGGTCTTATGCCAGCCATCGACCAAGCTTCAAGGCAATCTCTAGGTAGGGGTTCGGTGATTCATGTAGAGGCCGCTCCCCAGGGATTAAAGTGGTTGTTGGTCTCATTTCAGCTTTGTTGCACACGAATCATGCGAGTTAGACTCGAGAGGTTGCAGCGCTTGCTCATCGTCATCGTTGTCGTCGCCGTCACTGTCCACTGCTCGTTGTTTTCCTGGGTTAACGTTCAGGATGAAAGCTACCTTTGTTGTTGCTGTTGTTGGGTTGCTGTCTGTTGTTGGGTTGCTGTCTCTTCGCATCCGGACCCCCTCTTCAATCCAGCAAGCAAGCCTTGGGCAGGGTCCTCACGCTCACGTCGTGAGGGCACGGTGCCCACCACGGCGCGACAGTGCTGCTGGGTGTGAGCATGTGCTCCCCTGCTGTTGCTGCTACAACAATAGACTGCGAGGATTCCTCCGAAACCCTTCATAGTGTTTCAGACTCAACCTATAGTTAGCCTGAGCCCTATAGGCCTTACTTATTCTCTGAACCTTATCGAAGACACGAGCATTTGTAGCTTATTGTCCTGAATGTGTCCCAGTGCCAAATACTGTCGTGCATGTTGCATGAGTATGGTCCTGGTTGTGCCGGTCTCAATAGTGGACTCTTGGTGCTAAACAGCTGCCGGCGTCGAGGAAATCGTGCTTGTCACCGTCAGCAATGCCACAAGCATCATTGCCATCCTTCGCATGGCCATAATGAAAACTAAGCCGTGATAAAGTATAGTAGAGTCCTGCATGATATAGGAGAATACCGTCGAACATAGTAATAGCAAAATAGCAAAAAACACGTACAGTAAAGTAACTATACCTGTCCACTATACGATATTATTACTATGCTATACGGTATTATCCTATGATTGCCTGAACCCTAAACCCTAAACCCTAAACTCGTGTTTTGGCACTGGGGCCCTAAGGGAGTGTAGTGTCACCAACCCAAAGAGAAGATCAGACGGTTGTGGCTGCGTGGGGAAAGACCGACAAGACTTCGCCTGCATCAAGAATTACCCAAGGGGTCCTTAGAATGGGGTTTAGGGTTTAGGGTTACCATAGTTTAGGGTTCCTTAAGGGGATCTATAGGGTTTCGGGTTAGGGTTCCAAAAGGGATCTGGGTGGTTGTCAAAATTAGGGTCCCTTTTTGGATCCTCATGAAAATACAGCACCTAATACTTAGGTACCCAAAAAGGGACCCTAGTTTTGGCAACCACCCATCATCATGACAGAAATACGTAAACAAACCATAATCCTCAAATCCCAAGTCGGAGTCCTGAAACCCTAGGCCCCAAAAAACCCAAACCCTTGTGTAAGCTCAGATGGTTGAGCAGACATAAGAAGGAGCTCAAAAATCAACCATACCCAGACCCTAAGACCCCAAAGCCCTGGACGGCCGTGAGAAGTTTCCAAGCTGATTTGCTTGTGCGCGGCTCGTTGAGTTCCAGGGCACAGGCCTAAAAGCAAAGAGCAGGAAATCCACATGTCGTAAAGGTTCTAGAGTAGCATGGTTTAGGGCAGGGGTGTAGTGTTCACGCCAAAGCCTCTCGGAATTAGCCCTAGCCCTAGCCCTTCACTGGGGGTAAATGCAAACATTCAGACGTTATTTGGACCGAGAAAAATATACACATCGTTTTGAGTTTAGGGTTGAGGTTTTGGGGTTTATCGTATGGTTCAGGTTTAGGGTTTAGGGTTCAACCCAAGCCTTTCTCAGACATCCTTACTAATCCCTAGAGGCCGGGGCTTTTAACACCTGATGTGGCGACAGCTCGTCGATGGTGATGGAGCGCGGTCTGCACCCCGCCCTTCGCGCGCCGGGGCGAAAGGGGAGGTGGGACGGGCTCATGTGAGGTGGGGAGAGAGTGTATTTGTCACCATTAGGAGATGTTTGCAGCAAAGACCTGATTTCATGTGCTGCTTCTTAGTGGGCGTATGCGCTAAGACCCAGAGTGTTTGTCCTTCGCATTCCCTGTTTGCACCTGAAGAAAACTTTCGATTCTCGCTACTTCCTTTCAGTCTGCCTTGGGCTTGCAGGGTGCAGCCACGGTCAAGGTTTAGGGTTTAGGGGTTTAGGGTTTAGGGTTTAGGGTTTAGCGTTTTTCAACCAATTGGTGCTTTTGGAATGCCCGTTTCAAGGCCTCGTGCTGCAAAGAATGATTACCAAACTATAGGGGCCAGAAATTTTGAATAGGGTTCTGGGTGTACTATGATTGCAGTAAGGAACCTTCGTCCATTCATGTAGTCCTGGATTCGCAATCCTAGTGGCGCACCTCATTCCTGTAATCCCGACGTTTTCGACAGCAGCAATTGCTCAGATCAGTGCAACATTTATATCACCAACATAGCCATACAGATAGAAGTGCACGAGGATGAAGCCTAAACAAGAACCCAACAAGCTCTAAAACCACCACAGATCCTGAACCATAAGCCATAAACCCTAAACCCTCACCCTAAATCCCAAACCCTAAGCCATTGCAGGATGCCGGCATCCCGGCAGAGCCCCCTTCCGACGCGCTGCCGCGTCCGGACGGAAGCCGCGTCCAGGCGAAATGCTTGAAAGGAATCCTTGAAAGGACCTTTACTGGGTTCTTGTTAAGGAACTTAATTTAAGTTACCATAATAAGGAAACCCTATTATTTACGATAGATCCCTATTATGGTAACTTAAATTAAGTTCCTTAACAAGAACCCAGTTTAAGGCTTTGGGATCACGGGATTTAGGCGTTTAGGGGTTTAGGGCCGTTTAGGGTTTAGGGTCCAAGGTGGGTTTAGGGCATTTGGTTGAGCATCGGTGCCTTTTTACCTGGACCCTAAGGGACCTGCCTTTTTAGGGTTCCGTAATATGATGTAATTGGGGTTAAGGTAAGGCTTTGGGAGTACGGGATTTACGGGTTGAGGGTTGAGGGTTTAGGGTATTGGGTTGAATACCGGTGCCTCAATAATTACCTATAGAATATTGGAAGGTTCCTTATTGCAGTTATAGTCTAATGGGCTCCAAAACCCTATTCTAATTTTAAGGCCCCTATATTAAGGTTGTTTTGGATTTGGCATGTTTAGGAATCATTGAAAAAGCATGTAGGGCAATAGGATTCAGGGCGTTTAGAGTCTAGATCTAAAATCAGTGCATAGAGCTTACAGGGACCAGGGTTTACCTGGGGTCGAAGGGTCCTTTTACGGGTTCATGGTGGAGGGGTGGGCACTCTCAAACCGAGGCTTTGCCAGATCCTGAAGCAAATTATGAGCCCAAAGTTCCGTAGGGTTGCCTAGTTCCCAAACTATCGACCTCCAACTCCCATCACACCCTGAGCAACTCGGTTCCTGTGGGTCAAGCCTTTTCACCTTGAAGCCCAAGCTCCATAATCCCAATACCGTTAAATCCTAAGGACAACAGCAACAACACAACGCCGAGACCCAACATGACCCACACCCCAACAGTAAACAGCCCTAGGCTCTTAGGATTCGTATTTGTAAGGCTTGCGAGTGAGTTGGGTTTTTGGCTTCATGCGCCGAAAGACCATACTATCTAAGGATTTAGAAACCATTTTGAGCCATCGGGCAAACCCTGAACACCAACACCGAAAACCTTTACTAGGTGGCAATTTGGGAAACTTTTTAATTTCCATTATGGTTCCTATAGAGGTACCTATTCATAAATACTTGTCAGAACCCCAAAACTACAACCCAGTTTAACATTTAACCCCAAACTGTCACAGTCCCCAACCCTAAACTCGTGACGCCTTGTCGAACTTGTTAATTTCCCGGGCCACCCTAGATAATCAGATACTGAGCAAGTAAGCCACCCTAGATAATCAGATACTGAGCAAGTAAGTTCAACCAAAACTCTTCACAGTCTGTCCTAGATAATCAGATACTGAGCAAGTAAGTTCAACCAAAACTCTTCACAGTCTGTCCTAGATAATCAGATACTGAGCAAGTAAGTTCAACCAAAACTCTTCACAGTCTGTCCTAGATAATCAGATACTGAGCAAGTAAGTTCAACCAAAAATCTTCACAGTCCCAAACCCTACACTTGTGACAACCTTATTGCGACTGTTAACTGCCTTGGCCAGCTCCATGGGGAGTCAACGCTAGTCCGGTGGACTTGTCGGGGCAACGGCCGCTTGACACAGAATCAGTCGGGCGGCCGAAAAGTCCTACCTTTTTAGGGTTTCTTACTATGGTGTCTCTATACAGTTCCATAAAAAGGTAGGTCTTTTAGGCCACAGGTAGGATTTAGGGTTTAGTCAAGGGGTTTAGGGGTGAGGGTTTTAGGGGTTTAGGGTTTGAAGTTTACGGCTTACGGGCCTGAGGATAATATCACTTTGGTGGTCTCTTTTGGAGTTCAGGAGCTCGGGTTTGGGTTTTGAGGTCTAGACTGTTTTGGATTTCGGGAGATGCATCCTTTTTTTGGGGTGATGTTGAGCCATGAATCTCGCAATCACCCGGGTTTAGGGTATACAAGTATACAAGGGCTGTTGATTACTGATTTGGGGTTGCTCCATCCTACCTGTTGAGGCCTTGGCACAGAGTGAAGGTTTAGGGCCTTACAGGAACCCGAAAATCCTCGAACCTTAACAGTTTAGGGCTCTAAACACTAAAAGAACACAGGAACCCTAAACCCCCAAACCCTCACAGTTTAGGGCAGTGCTAGAAACCGGAAGGGCGGCCAAGCAGCGTCTAAGTCTGGTACAAGCCGAGCCCTAAGTAGAATACGGTTCGGAAGAATAGTTAATGCCTCGCTCCCAAAATATGAAGACTAATCGCCGTTTATAAGTGTCGGGCGACTAAGTTACCTACTTTTGGGGGTTTCGTTAGATGTTAATAGAAATCTTCGCCTATAGTCAGTGTGCACATGTACGATAATATGACTTCAAGTCTAAGGCCCGATTCTAACCAGTCAGGCCTGTGTTTTAATCCCAACCCCCGAAGAGTAATGCACGTGCATATGCCCCAGTGCCCATAGCTGCTGGTGCTCTTAGGGTGCTCCGCAAGAGCCCCAAGGCTAGTGGTCGCAAGAATGCAGCGATTGCTGCATTCACCAGCCACTGTCTGACTGGTGTGACGGAAGAGCAGAATGAAGCTGGCAAGCGGCTCCTTGAGAGAGTCTGTTTTCGATACTTCCATTTGACGGGCACCCGAAATTCCCTGATGGCTGCCATGGGAGCGAGAGTCTGTAGGGACTTAACACCAGTGAGTGCAGCACACGCCTTTGCGGGCCAGCCAACTGTGGCAAGACTCAGCTGGTGTCTCTTGTGAAGCAATTCATTGGTGCAAGGAGTTTGTTCTCCACTGATGCGAACCCCGACGCCTATGAGCCTGGGGATGACAAGGCAGTTGATCGCATGGAGGAGGATCCATTCCCAATGATCGATGATCTCGTGGTTGCGAATCCGGCTGATGCTGCCCATAGCTGAGGGTGCTCTTAGGTTGCTCCGCAAGAGCCTCAAACCCTAAACCCTAAACCCTAAACCCTAAACTAGTTAGGTTAACCCCTAGGTTGCATACGCCCTCAACCCTGAAGCCCCAAGGGCGAAAGGCTTAAACGGCCCTAAACCCTAGACCCAGAAGCCCAGTAGAAGCCCCAAACCCTCAACCCGGAAACCTCAGCAAGCCTAAGTTGCCGTTTGCAGATGGGTAGCCCATGGAGGATACACTAGCTTCACTAACCCATGGCAGGTGTGGAACCTGTCCCGTCGCCCGTCGTACCGATCTTCTGGCTTAGGATCCAGGCATCGAATTATCTGCAGACTGCTCGTACGACCTGCGAACTCTCAGGTTCATGGAGAAAGCCAGAGCTTTTCCCCCTGGACCAGGAGTCAGGGCAATTCATCGTTTCTAGGGTGTCGCGTAAAGGCTTGCATGTGTCACAATTTGGGCAGCTTTGTATAGGTGATGGGTGCAAGCAGATTTTCAGGGCGAGATTTGGGTGAAAAAGACATGCATATGTGCATATAACCATAAAGCATATGTATATACATATACACACACATATATATATATATATATATATATATTCATGTCATGTACGTATGTTTGTGCATACGTGTGTATGTATATGTTCTATTATCAACAGAAGCCCGAAAACCAAGGGACGTACTCTCCCTTACAAAGTTGTGTGTGGTCTTTTGGGCCTGTGTTATAACACGAAGGTTTCAGACTCATAGAATTTCGGGTTGTAGCGGTTTATGTGAACATAATATAGAGGTTCGGAGGGTTATGGTCAAAATTACGAGATGTAAACCCAACTTTTTTGTTGCGTTCAATATACAAAAACCCTGTTACAATCTGAAGCTTATCCTAGAGCCATGGCAGAATTTCCTAAACCCTAAACTGTAAAACCCTATTACTATACCTTAAAACCCTTAAATCGCGTAAACCCCGAAACCCCTACACCCGAAACCCCTAAACCAGAAGACACAGGACCAGCTGAAAGCGTTTACCGGCCGCGTTTGACCAACTCTGTGCTCAAGGATTTCAGCCGCATTTAGGTGTTTCGGGGTTTAGGGCTTGAAGCTTAATTAGGGGTTTAGGGTGTAGGGCTTCAGGCTTACCAAGTTTCGTACACGGCTGCAGGTTTGACAGGATGTTTGGTTTTTTTATTGGTGCCCCAGGTGCACTAGCCGAGCTTGGGAATTTCGCCAGACAAAGGAGCCCACGTTACATTCGGGGACGCCCGGATGCCTAAAATCACGCGAACTCCCACGTGCACCTTCAAACTGGAAGCTGTCCACAACCCAAAGGCTCCATGTACCCATATAGTATATACTTAGGCCTTAAAGTACCTACATAGGGACCCCTTTAAGGCTTAGGTATCTACTATAAAGGTACATGGAGCCTTAAACCCTAAACCCTAAACCCTTATGATACCCTTTATAGAACCCTTAGAGGAACCCTAAACCCTAAACCCTTAAAGGTACATGGAGCCTTTGGGAAAGCCAGGTTCGAAGAGCAGGTGAGGCGGCATGAGGCCGCTTTGCAGGGTCCCAGAATGCGGGTCTCAGGGAGAGGGCTGAAGGCTGAAAGGTCTAAGCATAACGGCACGGTTTAGGGTTTAGGGTTTAGGGTTTAGGGTTTAGGGTTTAGGGTTTAGGATTTAGGGTTTAGGGTTTAGGGTTTAGGGTTTAGGGTTTAGGGTTTAGGGTTTAGGGTTTAGGGTTTAGGGTTTAGGATTTAGGGTTTAGGGTTTAGGGTTTAGGATTTAGGGTTTAGGGTTTAGGGTTTAGGGTTTAGGGACCGTAATATACCCGGAGAAGGTGGGTTCTGGTGCCAGTAGGTCATGGTGGGGCTGGGAGTTCTAGGGTGGTTGCGGGACACAGGCTCCATCTTTGAGTATCAGGACTCAGGATTCGCAGATTAGAACTTTTAGAGACTCCAATATCCTTTAGTTGATAAGGAAAATCCCTTAAATTATGATAGGATCCCTACTATGATTTAAGGAATATTCCTTAACTAAGGGATATTGGAGTCTCTGGACTTGAACGGGTTACAGGGTATCCGTTCTGGTGTGTGAGGGTTGAGGAGTCTTCCTTACCCTTTGGCGTCGATCCCCGGCCTCTCGGTCACGTACTTATAATAGCACTTTAAGAATTACCCATACTATTTTGGGGGTCCCTTACTATGATTACCTGTAGCAGTAAATTACCTATACTATTTTGGGGGGTTCCTTATTATAATTATTGTATAATTGGTGCCAAAACCTTATTCTCATTCTTAAGGCCCCTATACTTTATATGGTTGGTCCGGGTTCGGCTGCGCTCGTCGTGTCTCGTTTCGAGGACTCACGGCAGCTCCTCTTGTGTTTTACAGGGGTTGTTTTTTGCAGGCCCTGCGCAGATACTCATGCTTTCAAAGGTTGAGGGTTTAGCGTTTAGAGTTGGTTCACGGCTTGCCGTTCTTAGCGCTTGAAGGCCTGTCCCAAAAAGGAACTACTTTGGGGCCTGTGGGCAGAGAGAAGTGCATTGAGCCTTTGTCTTGGCGCGCTTCCAGGGTCGTACCCGCACTCCTGCCGTGACTCGCATGCGACAAGAACAGTCATCTTTTGTAGTGAACGGGGGAACTTTAAACTTTTTGGCCTTAAAAATTTGGCTCTATCTTAGGTTGTTGAAGAAGAGAGTAAAGACCTGTAGTCTCATTGCAGTTCCTTTGTTGGGCTTAACCGATTATACATCTAGGATCCCACAAGGTGACCACAAAGTGACAAGGAACTACAATGGAGACCATAGCTAGTACCCTACACCCCTAAGCCCAGATATGATTGGTCCGACATGATGGAAACTTCACCTCGACGACCGAAACCCCAAGCCCTAAACCGGGCTGTTGCCAGCTTCAAGCTTGAATCTGCAGCTTGGTAGATGTTCTGTCTTCCTGGTTGAAATTGGTTGAAACCTGTTGGTTGCATACAAGATAGGGTTTCGAGCAACTAGAAATACCGGTACATCTACGATGATATCCGCGCACGAGTTTCCTGTGTGGTCGGCTACTGTTCCCTCAGGCATAAATAGATCGACGTTACAGTACCCGAAGCCCGGGACCTACGATGCAATTGCAGCCTTATAGAAACCGCTTTCTAGTACGCTAACCCTAAACCTTAAACCCTGAACTGCCCTAAGCCCTAAACCTTACGCCATGAACCCTAAACCCAGGAACCTACTACGTAGGTTGCTAGACTTCAGGAAGAGATGGAGAAGGAGCGTCTTCGGAAGGCCGGCACGTCGTGGTGGTTTTGAGGCTTTTGGATGGTTTTTGGGGGTTTAGCGATTTTTTATGAATCTGTTTAAATGAGTGTTTGTTTGCGGGGCTTCAGGGCTACTAGGGTTTAGGGACTTTCAATTTGTTCTAGTGAGCTTGTTTTTATTCTTGTGGGGCTTCAGGGTTTTAGGGTTTGGGGGTCGACCGGGGTTTTAGCCTTCAGGGCTTGGGGACTGGGGCTTTAAGGGTTTCGGGCTTTGGAAGTTCTACTGTCGTATTTCGGGCCATAGTCATAAAGGTTTCAGGACTCAAGGTTGAGAAGTGCCTAATATAGGGCCTAATCAATTGCCTATACTATTTTGGTGGCTCCTCAATATAAGTATAGTATAATGGGCCCCAAAACCCTATTCTAATTATTAAGGCCCCTACAGTAGTCGAGTGCGCAAGGTGGAAGACAATACAGGCAGGCTTCGCTTTGCTAAAGAGCAGGGTTTGGGGTTCCGGGTCTACAGAGGGTTACTGCAGCAGCGGCCTTAACAATCGCCTATACTATGTTAGGGGGTTCCCTGATATGATTATAGTACACTGGGCCCCAAAACCCTATTCTGATTATTACTTCATGGAAACTTAAGACACGGAACCCTAATCAACCCGAACACTTCGCGAGATCCCAGATGCTGAGCAGTGTGAGCGGAAACACTGCATTATTTCGCGGTGCGTATGTAGGACTGATACGATGTTTGTCTGGGGCTCTCGCAGATGACCTTGTCACTAGTGTGTGTCTCTATATTGGCCCTATGTTGAGTATCTACAGTTTTGTTTATAGAGGGGCACGATGTTGCCCTGTCCTGTTTGCATTATTTAGGTGCCTGGTCTTCCATTGTGCAAATCTAACAAAGAAACCACTACTTTTTCGAAACTTGGGGTTGGAAGCCTGGGGCCCAGGGAAGCGTGCCGAAAAGAAGCCGAACCAGCAGCACGGGCACCGGCACTGGCACCACCACCATCACCACGACCACCACCACCACAAAAATGTGTGGACAAGGCCCTTAAGGCTTTCAGAGGACAAGCCCGAAGACCTGAAGGGAAACCCCACCAATCCCAGCCATTCTCTCCAAACTTTAACACTCTGAAAAGCCTGCGGTTTAGTTACGTAAGTAGTATAAACGATGGCAAACGTCCTCGTAGTCCTTGTTCTGTGACTGTTTAATCTTCCTCTAACACACCCCCCTCCCCCAAGCCTGTATATGGGGATTTCCGAAAATAGGGGACCCTAATATAGTACCCCAAATAGTCGGATCCTTATTATAAGGACCCCTAAATAAGGTACCCCTAATTTTCGGAAACTCTAAACCCTAAACCCTTTATAGAACCCTTATAGATCCCTTTAAGGAACCCTATAAAGGATCCCTTTAAAGGGCCCTCCAGTCTGAACCACAAAGCCCAAGGAGGAGGAAGAGCGAGAAGCCCAAGAGGCTGCACGAAGGAAGAGGCCGGGCCAAAGAGCCTCTGGTGGTGTAGTAAAGTAGTCTTCAGTAGCAGTCGTAGTCGTCGTCGTAGTCGTCGTCGTAGTCCTAGTGGTGTCAGTAATCGTGGTAGTCGTCGTTGTTGGACATGGGCCCTTTTTAGGGTGCAGGTTATGCTTGTGTGTGTGTGTTTACGATGGTTTGGAGCCAAAGTGTAGGGTGTTTTGGCTTTTTTCATTTGAGGCTTAAGAGTTTCAGAGCTTCGGGCTCTAGGATGTGGGGTTGATGCTTGCCTGTGGGTCTTAGGCCTGGATCTTCCAAGACTGAGGTTGTCGTGTTCAAGCTCTAGGGCTCGGGGTTTGGAGTCATGGTGTTGGGTTCAAGCTCGATGTCGTGGGGTTTCGCGCGATTCTGGTAGCCGAAGCCCCTTACTTAAACCCAGAGTCGAACCTCCTCCGCCCAAAACATGAACTGTATCCTTTGCCCTGAACCCTATACCCTGGAACCCCAAACAGTTGATCCTGAGACATTGAATTCCCTGTGCCCCAGGGCAGAAAAGCTGGCAGCTGCGCCAGCGGCGGTGGCTGCACAAAAGGCCGTTGTAATGAGGGCTCTTGCGGCTCTTGTGTGTTGCGGCTTGGTACTCACCTGAACACAGGCGCTTCGTAACAGGTCATTGCAAAACCCCGGGCCTGTGTAGTCATAGGCAGCTGTGCCAGAAGGATGTTGGCATAAGACACCAATTCGAAAAGTCGGACCTGATGCCGAAGAGTAGCCTACCTACTAGGAGAGGTTCCTGGCATAGGATAATGTAGGGTTAACTCTAAGGAACAGTATCCCACTAATTACAAAGGTAACGGAGCTTCGAGGCCGACAACTAGGCACCGCCTGATCATGAGAGTGTTCCAAGTTCTCTGAGCATCAATATTGGTGCCGGAAAGTATTCCTTCGGGTTCCTGAATGTAATTTTGGTGTTAATTAATCGCCCCCCCCAAACGCACACATCCTTGGCTATAGAGCCCGAAAACAGAACCTGTAGTATAATGGAGCCCTTAATATAGAACCCTCATGAATCCTTATCGGATCCTTATAGAACCCTTACAGAACCATATAGAACCGTATAGAAAGCTTATGGAACCCTTACAGGACCCTTCAAAAGAGCTGGATCAGGCTGCGGCTGCTGCTGCGGCAGCGGGCAATGCTGCGGAAACCATAGCTGCGGTCCCAAGTTTCAGCGGGAGGGACTACGGGGCCTTAATACCCATAGTCAGGACTTTATAAGGGCTAAGAAAAGACGGTTAGGGTTTAGGGTTTAGGGTTTTGGGTTTTGGGTTTTGGGTTTAGGGTTTAGGGTTTAGGGTTTTGGGTTTAGGGTTTAGGGTTTAGGGTTTAGGGTCCCCTACCCCCCTCCCACCCTTAAGGGCCCCTATGAGCTTATGCCTTGGAAGTTCGTGGGGCTTTCGAGGCTTGTAGTTGAGGGAAGTTTAAGGGCTTTCGGGTCTTAGGGGATGGGGATGCCGGGTGGATTTGCGTATCATCCATGTATATTAATTAGGCCTGGTTCGATGCCTCCCCCCCTCCCCCCCAACTCACACCACCCATAACACAGAATTTTCTAGTCACTGAGGCCTCATATTGGCTCCTGTTGGATTCGACGGCTCGTGGGGAGTAGGGTGTTTTGGTCTCTGCTGCATCACCGCAAACCGTGGACGAGCCCTGAAGTAAGATAGAAGCCTGCATACGTCGCATAAGTAGCAATAATGCTTCCCAGGGTTCCTGAACATGTTAGTTCTTTCAGGGCTTCGGGCAGAGTTTAGGCTTGGGCTCCCCGAATGGCTTGTTTTGTTTATCCCCCCCTTCAAGGCCCTCGTCCTGTCAACAAGGCACCTTGTTGTGTGATTATATAAGTTCTTGTTCCGATTTGGAGATCGGGGCCCCCATCTATCACCAACCGCGGCTGCCTTTGTAGCAAGGTCGCTCGGGATGGAGCGAGATAGAGTCGGGAAGGTTTGCAATCAGTTTTGTGGCTAACGCCCCTCATAACTCCCACGAGCTACTCACCCGTATTCCCACACCCTACATCCAGAATCCCAAACCCGGCTCCCAAGATTGAAATGGCAGCGCATGTTCTATTTCAGGCTTTGCAAACGACTGGACTCCAATTCCTGCCAGCTCTATGTTGAGGTGTAGGACGAGCTTCGGTAGTCAGTTTCGGGAATCGACGGTTTTAGGTTACAAACTATACTCTCCTGAGGAATTGTTTTCTAGAGTTGTTCATATAAACCCAAGAGAATATTTAAAAGCTTCTTTTATTATGGTTCTAAGGGGAGTTCAGGGTTTGGGGAGCCTAAGTGGATGTTGGGAGACTCTGATGCCCTTTGCCTTGCTAAGGAGCCATCGCGACTAGCAGAACTTTTGGCTCTGAGGCACTGGTCTTCCCCGTCTTATTATAAATTATAGACCCTTGAAGTAATTCGAATAGGGTTTTGGGGTTAAATTTCACCACAATTGAAATAAGGAACCCTCCCAAAAATAGTATAGGTAGCCATTAAACCCTAAACCCTAAACCCTAAGCCCTAAACCCTAAACCATTAAGGCATGTACGGTGTCATTGACTGAAGCCTGATCGACCCTGTTTAGGACAGGTCAAAGATGGTTCTCTAGGACCCAGAGAAGGCCCTTATTCCCTTTTTAAGGGTTCAGGTTCCCTTATAAGCACCTTTGAACCAAAAAGGGCACCCTTTTTATTCCTAGGTTACTCTTGATCCTAGTTCTTAAGTTCCTGCGTGGATTGCATCAGAAAAGGCATAGCCTTTAGCACAGTTGGGTAACATTTTACATTCTTCCGGGTACTTAAACCCAATAAGGAATAGAAGTGTACATGTTTAACCCTATCCCAACCATGAACTAGTAACTACGTCTGAAAAGTCGGACTGTCTGCCATCCAGCCTGCGGAGTGTGGGGGATACTTTGATCCCCGTTCCTCCGACCATACAAATCATCAGCAATGCTCAAAACACAAAAACACCTGAAAACAACGTGCAAAACTCTTCAGAAAACTCCTTGTACTTCAAACTATAAACCCGTAAACCCCTAAATCCTTTGTGGCAGGGAGCCGCCGGAAGACTCCACTCCACAACAAGATGGGTCCTTCCAACTGGCTTTGGAGGACCTGAAAAAGAGCAGGGTGAGTTTGAAAGCCGGTGTATCTGTAACTGGGGCTGTGGATTTAGGGCCTAGGGTATTATGTGACTTCGGAGTGTTGGCAAAACCGCTTTGATGGAGCTAGCGATCATGCCATATACTGTTCAACATACATTTTATATCATGTAAGTATCACATACAGTATATATATATATATATATATACACATCATATAGAAATACATCTTGTATATACAGCACAGATATACGTATTTTATCCTCAGACATTAAACCTCAAACCCTAAACTCTAAAGCTGCAGAGAACGAGGATGGTGCGACCATCCGATGGACCAAGAGGCCGCCCCGGATCTGGTGGGTTTCGGGAGTTTTTAAGGGCTTAGGGAGTAGGATTCAGGATTTAGGGTTCAGGGTGTAAGGCTCAGAGGTTCGGGGTTTAAGGGGTTAGGGAGCATAGGATGTAGGATTTAGGGTTTAGGGCTTGGGTTTAGGGTTTAAGGTAGCAGTGTGCACGCGGTGGGTGCGCTACTTTGGGAACGGGGTCACACCCACTCACCGCGAGCTTGCGTCAGGGTTTAGAGTTCACCCCACGCCCTGTGAGGGTCCTGCAAGTGTAAACACATATCAGCGGCGCTCTCGGCAGTTGAGGTGTATGGGTTTAGGAAATTGTGAAAGCTTCAGCGTCCACATCCAGAAGTCATGCGGGGACTCGCCAGCAAAAGCCCGAACCCTCTAAGCCGAAGCCCCCGAACCTTCAAAAAGACTTGAGCAAGTGTAAACTGTGCCCTGCCCATGGTTTCTACACGAGTGGTTTGTTCAAGTGTGGGATAGCTTGTGGGAAGTCTGCCGGGGGGTGAGAAGAGGGAAGCGCGAAATTCTTAAGCGCTGGGCATGGCAGCTCTTTAAAGCCCCAAAGCCTTGAAGCCCTTACAGCTCCACGGCCATAAATGCAGCGTAGCGCATTGAGTGCCTGTGAACCAGCGTGTGACACGATGTTTGTCGTACATGCGAGAGCTTCTTGTAGCCTCGCCATCTCCACAGTGAACCTGCATGTCTTCCCCCCGCCCCCTAGCTCCCATCCACTTCGACATCTTTATGCCGCTGTCCAAATGGCTATCGTGGCGGAGCGGGTTGGCATGCCGATCCCGATGCGACAGGTTCGGGGCTGCCACGTGGGGAGCCCGGTCATGGAGGGTGCAAGTGGTGTGGCACCTAGGCGACGAGCACGGCCATGAGAAGCCGGTGCAAAACCTTTGTTTATTTCGGGACTCAATGCGGGCTCGTGCGCTGTGCGACGGCCGCGCTGCTCGCGAGTCGAGATTGTTATAAGAGAATTCAGCTTGGTTGTCGCAGCAGTCAGCGATGACGCAGGGATTAGTCCGGAATAGATCACGAAGCAGTGTGCGCTCATCGGTTATGGATACGGTGTGATACGGTTGTCCTCGGGGGTGTGACAGATGTGTCCCGTCACGTGTGAGGACCAGACACCAACCAGCATGGCTTTCACAGACTACACCACTGATGAAGATGAGGACGAGGCCAGCGCGCAGGATTCAACTTATATTCGTGGCAGCCAGCTTATCCTTTTGATGCTCCTCGTAAAGATCGTGCTGATTTCACTTTACATAGAGCTTGCTAGGAGGAAGCGCTTCCTCCTTTGCGAGATACCGCTGGTGTGGTTGTGCAATGTGCAGCAAGTCCCCAGAGCACGTTGGGCCGCATTGCGCGACGGATAATGTGCAAGTTGTGAAACGTGTGGGTTAAGTTAAGTGGGAGGTTGTAGCCAGAACCAGCCTCTGTCGAGCCCTGAAGGTTGGCGCGCTTGGCGGGAGGTCGCGGCGACGAGCCAGTGCCGCGAGAGGGCCTGGACTTGGCGTGCGAGATATGCTTGGCGGCTTTTGCGCCCCGCTGCTGCCGCTTGGGAATGCACGTGGTGGGAGTGCTTGGTGGACTCGAGGCCTCGTTGGTGCGTAGCCGTAAAGTGCTCTACATCGACGGGGTCGGCAGTCTCAGCGGCGGCGGCGCTGCCTTGATCCATTCCGCCTGGATGCTGGGAAGGCGCCTGGAGGTGCAAGCTATATAATCAAAGCCAGGCGTGGCCCTGCCAAAGGAAATAATTAAAAGTCGGCAATCGTTTTACACTCCCAGCCGCTCATAAGCCATCTTGGTTTCGGTCCTTTCCCACTCGATGGGCACATGATAATTGCGCAGGTCTGGGTCCGAGACCTTCTGGCGGCGGGCAGGGCTGCAGCCAATCACCGCCGCATGGCGGGCCAAGAGGCGACAAGCCGACGCGCGGTCTCCACTGGTCCGAGCACAAGGCCATCTTCGCGAGGCCGGCGGCCCGAACAACAACACCACCACCAACAACACCACCAACAACAACAGCAACAACAACTGCAACAACAACAACAACAACCACAACCACAACAACAACAACAACAACAACAACAACAGCAACAACAACAACAACAACAGCAACAACAACAACAACAACAACAACAGCCTCAACAACAGCAACAGCAACAACAGCAACAACAACTGCAACCACAACCTGCACCAACAAGCAGCAAATGACCTGAACTAGCTGGAACACAGTCAAACTTACCTTTTACATCAGCATCAGGGTCAATGGAGTGACATGAGTGACCTGAGGAAGCAGCTTGTTTCGTCAGGCTAGTTGGAATCATAATGACCCAAAACAGCTTGAACAGAGTCAAACTTAACATACCACGTGCACCAGCATCAGGGTCAATGGAACGACATGGCTGACCTGAGGAAGCGGCTTGTTTCGTCAGGCTAGTTGGAAAGCAAAATGACCCGAATCAGCCTTGAAGACAGTCAAACTTGACCCGTGCCGCAGCATCAACTACGAGGGCCATGGTTGATGATGCTCGCACTGTCCAATACTGCTGTTCCTTGAGTGCTGAAAGTCTTGCGATTTCAGCTGCAAGGTCTGTTTTTGCTTTCAATGTCAGCTGCACCTACAATGCTAATCCGGTATCCCGAACATTCAGGAGCAGCCGAAGCTGTTCTTTTGCATGTGCATCTTGGCTCAATTTGCAATTCAAGACAGAAGCCCGACAGCGATACACCCCGGCACGAAGTCGAATCATCTTCAAGCTCTGACCGATAAATTTAAGATTAAAGACCAAGCCCATTACGTCCTCAAGAACCAGTGTCCCTCGTCTCGCACGTCTTGCATGCGCCGTCATGCTTGGAGTTCAGGGTCTGGGGTGTGGGGTGCTTTCGGGCTTCGGACCAGCTGTACCGTTCAGGTAATGGTGCACATCCACAGCCACCGATCACCCCAGTCAGCAAGTCTATCATCATTACATTGTGACTTGCAGAGGGCATTGGCAGAGGTGACGAGAGTTTACCACCGTCGACCTCAAGAGCACTTCGAGCTTTACAGACGCTTCCAGAAAGTACTCCATACCAAGTCCTCGATGCCTCCAAGTCCAAGTCCCCTCCTCTCCTGCGGCTGCGGGTTGCGCGAGCCGAATTCTTGAGGGACATCGGAGCCTTGGAGGACATCATCTAGCAGCGAATCCTCAAGTGCAAAAAGCCCTTGAAGAAGGTTCGGAAGTTGGAGAAGAGCGTGAAGGAACTGGGAGGGGAGTTGTCGGATGAAGTGTCTTCCAGGATTTCTCTCCTCGGGGACAGTTCGTCGGACGGCTCCAGCGGCTCCAGTGAAAGTGATGCACTGGTTCCAGTGAAGAAGGCGGAAGAGGCCAAGCCTGTAGCGGGCGCCCTCCAAAATGAATATGTGAAAGGCGAAAGGCAAAACAGAATAATGCGCCGCACTATTGTGGGAGCTGCATTGAACTTTGGAGCACGATTTTGGGGGCGGACGTACAGGACTGCGCGAGCCCCTCAAATCGTTTCAAAATGAGGCTGGCGGGATTTCCAGACCACGCCGGTGAGCCCTGAGGAACCGTGGGTTTTGATTTCGAACCACCTGAAGGCCAACATGAGCACGGCGGGCTGTTGCGGAAGCACGGTTTTCATCCAAAGACACATTTTAATTACATGCAATAAGCGGCATTTCGGCATCGTCAGCGGCCAGCGCAGGAGTAGTTACTCGTAGAGTTTATAAGGTTTAGGCAGGTTTTAACTATGGTTTCTGGGTACAGGGATTGTAGATATTTTTTAGGTGTTTAGGGGATTTAGGGGTTTGGGATATATGTTTGTTTTGCAGGGTTTTTAGGATTAGGTAGGGTTTAGGGATGTAGAGAGTAGCAGATCTTCAGAGTTTAGGATATGTATACTTTGGTTTTAGGGTTTGGGGAGCAGTTTTTTTTACAGGGTACGTTTCTGCACATTCAGGGCATATACAGGGTATCAAAGAATAGCAGTCTTTGGCACTTTGGTTGCGATCCGTCAGAGAAGCCTTCAACTTGAATTTTGTATAACCGATGAAGGGAAAGCGTCAAAACTCCTCGACCCCATACCCCTAACGCTATATCGAGACTAAAGATTCCAAAGCTTGTGCTAGTCGTCCAGTTGCCTAACAACCTCGTAAGCTTTAGACCAAGTCCAAACCCTGCAACGTTTGAACCTGGATCCCCTACCGCCAACTCTCAACGCTGGGAGGCCTGACGGAACCTGGCGGAAGCCAGAGCATCGACGGGCTGGCTGGGTGCGCCGGCATGGACGACGGGCTCGGGATTTGTAAGATTTGTAAGGGTGAGTTTAGTCTAAGGCATTGATATAGAGTGAGTGGATTTCTTCGTGCTGAAAACCGTTTAACAACAGCATTGTGCCACTGTTTTGGGTCCTTCTGTTTGTGTGCTTGTGTTGGCACTTTTGACTGTATTCGTTCACCCATCCGAGGCTGAGTGGTTAATAGAGTAAGTACCTTTTTCAAAAACCCAAATCCATCCTAAACTCTTAAATTTTTTTAATTATCATAAAATCACAACTGAGGTCGGGGACTTGGAGCAAGAGAAATACGTGCCTCCCACGGCCACGGCCTCGATTTGGGGTTGAGGCTTTGGGAAGAATTTTGATTTGGTTTTAGGGTTAGGGGTTTACAGGGTTGAAAAGGGATGTTGACGTTGAGCGAGTATCATGTCATCTTGCAGAATTCAACAACGCTTGGACTCTTGGACAAGTGACAAAGGACAAGCACCAAATTCACAGACTGAGTATGCATACAGAATTATTTGGGGTATGCATTCGCAACTTTCAGGTGTGCCGTATGTATGTGTAAAGTTGTGCATCTATGCTTAACGCATGCATGTAGCGAATACTCACAGCGGTACTGCACATGCAACCAGAGGTGTGCTTAAAGTCGATATTTAGTCATTGCAACACACTGGCTGCTTAGTTACCTACGGTCATATGGGGGCCGGAATAACTAGTAACATCATCCCCTCATGACCCCTACGTGACTACGGTCGTATAGCAGGGCTTGAAACTCATGGTTGCCGTCTTCCACTTAATCCCAAGGGGTTTCACACGCAGCGCTATTCATGATCTCACTCGCTGGCCAAGAGGGCTCGCGCATACATAAAAAGCGCTAAGCTATGAAGCCGATGCCATGCAAATGTCACAATTACCGACCGGCCACAGCCTCAAAACCGTAATTACTGACTCAAGCCTGCATGAAATACCTAGAAGCGAACCTCGAACCCCTTCCAGCTTCGCAAGATGCAACGCTGAGCCTGAACCCTAGCCCTAAACCCAATTGAGTCTTTAGACTCCTAGCCCCAAACCTTAACTGGAAGCCCAAGTCGCCTGAACCCTCTACCCTTCCTGAGGTACGCTTACTGGAAGACGCCGGGGTCAACAGCACCACCCGTGCCTGGCTTCGGGATGTTAGGCACTCGGATCATCAGGGGGATTTTCGCGGAATGTGTAGGGCCTTGACAAGGCTTCTTTACAGGGTTTTAAACCCTACAGCCAGAAGCTTTGTTTTCGATTCTTAAGACGTTATGCACCCTAAAGTCGCTCAAGCATCGTTCAAGCAGCGTTCTGAGTAATTATGTGTGTATACTTGTGTGTGTATATATATATATGTATATGTATATGTATATGTATATGTATATGTGTCATCTGTTTATTTGCTTATTCATGTTATATATATACACATGTACTGTGTATTTATATTTCTTTGTTTATTTATTGATTCATTTGTTTTTGTTTACATGTACCTGTGTGTGTGTCTATATGTATATTTACGTATGTCTGTATACATATACATATATATATACATACATATACAATAAAAAAGCGGATTTGTTACATGTGTTATTGTGCAGTTGCAAGCCTGGCCGTAAACTGCAACAAGACGACCCTTTTTAACCCTGCTTGGAGGTTCATGGGTAGTTTTAAGCAGGGCTATCAGTAGGGTAACTATACTTATAACCCATATTAGGGGACTTGTAACCCCACTTATGACTACCCATGAACCTCCAAGTACTTCTGGCTCTCTTAAACAGTGACCTGAACGAGAGGCAAAAGGCTGCATGTCCCCGATGGCCCCCCTAATCCTAAGGCACATAAGTCGAACAACAACTACGAGGACTACATTGGCATCCACCCCAAAGCTTAATCCCCAAGCCTCTAGATCTAGATCCCGGAATCTTAGAACCCCCAAAATCTGCCCTCATAAAGCTTAGCCCCGAGAGCTCTAGATCTAGATCCGGGGATCTTAGAACCCCTAAACCTAAGACTCTAAAACCCTTCAGCCGCAAGCCCTAAACCGCAGCCCTAAAGCCGAAAAACCTTAAAACCCTGCAAACCCTAAACCCTAGAAACCTAAAACCTTCTACCCTAAACCCTAAACCCCAAACACTACCCAGCCGGACTACGATCGGGACCTACCACTCCGGCCTGGTCCTGTCGTGGGCTCAGCTTCCCTGCCGAATCCGGCCCACTCCCCCAATTTGGGAGTTTCCGAAATTAGGGGTACTTTGACAGGGATCCTTTAAGGGTTAAGTAAATTACAGGGATCTAGGAGGGCTCCATAAAGGGTTCAGGGTTTAGAGTTTCCGAAAAGTAGGGGTACTCTTATTTTGGGGTCCTTATACAGGGTCCCCTATTTTCGGAAACTCCCATAACATACAGAAAACCACGTCATGGGGGCCCGAGAAATTGTCGAACATAGCAACCATATCTTGCATCATAGCAGTTTCTGGGTTGCGTACTCCCAAAACGGGAGCCTATATAAATTACTACCAATGCTAGTCCTTCGGATTCCTGCGTCCATGTACACATATACCAGACTATTCCACAAAACCCTCTTCAACAAGCTCGGGACACTGTTTGGACCCAGTTATCGGCAGAAGCCCGAAGATGAAAAAGGAACCCTTCAAAGAGGCCGAATTTAGATGCCTACGAGACTCCGGAGAGCCCTACACATACGGTTCAGGTCGCCAGTTTGGTGCTTTTAGGGTTTAGGGTGAGTTCTGATTTGGGAGTTTCCGAAATTTAGGGGTACCTTATTTTGGGGTCAATATAAGAAAGATCCTACTTTTTAGGGTGCTATATTAGCGTACCCCATTTTCGGAAACTCCCATTTCTGGGGCAGTGTTTGTTTCTCGGTATGTGAATGCTGCGATTGATGAATCAACCACCAACATAATCTCTAAACCGTCGAAGCAAGACACTACAGATGCTTTCCGTGTGTGTTTTCGGCTTTTAATTTCGTTCAGAACCCTAAACCCTAAACCCCTAAACCCTAAACCCTAAACCCCATACAGGCGAGTGTTTGACGGGCAGGGAAGGGTAAGCGGTTAAGGGGTACGAAAGCATAGACAAGCCACAAGACTCGAAAGATGAGCCCACAACCGTGGCCGGTCCATGTAATTATTCGCCGCGTTTCTATAAGAAAGCAAGCCTCAATCCTGAATCCAAACTCTGAGTCCTATTCTCCAAACCCTACACTCCGTAAGCCTAGCCCGAACCCTAATATTCCAACTGTAAAGACAGAAGCTGAAACCCCAACACCACCCAAACAGCCCTGACCCCTGAGAATGCTCAGCGCAGGTGGGTGGTTGCCAAAAATATGGCCCTTTTTTGGGTACTCTAAATATTAGGTGCCGTATGATATTAGGGACCCTAAACCCTAAAACCCTAAATCCGAAACCCTAATCCCCAAACCCTAAACCGTAAACCCCAAACCCTAAACCCCAAACCCCAAACCCAAAGACGGACCCTAATTTTGACAATCACCCCAGGTGGTGACAGACGGATATCCTGCGAAGGCCAAGGTCGGCAAACAGCTTTTTACATCCCGGTTTAGGGTTGGAGGTTCATGGGTAGCTTTTGCAAAAAAATGCTGTCAAGGGCGGCCTTCCTCGATTTTGGCCGTCCTTCGAGGTACTGCAAGTAGTTATAAGTCCCCTAATAGTGGTTTGGAGTATAGGGGTTTCGGGGTTAGGATTTAGGCTCTGGGGTTTTTGTTTTGGTCCCAGAGACTCCAATATCCCGTAATTAAGGAATATTCCTTAAATCACATTTAAGGATCCTACTATAATTTAGGGTATATTCCTTAATTGAGGGATATTGGAGTCTCTGGGGTTGGGGGTTTGGCGTTTAGTGTTCGATTTTGGGTGTGGGGTGTAGGGTGTGGCGTTTGAGGTTTATAGGGTTTGGGGTACGAAAAGGCCCAGGGCTTTTATCTGCATTCAGGGTTCAGGCATTTTTCCGGCTGTAGGATTTGTGTTTTGTTTTCGGGGTTGGTGCGCCAGGTTCATGATAAACCCTAAACCCCAATGCCTTCCAAACGCTAAACCCTAAACTGTGGCATTGAACCCTATAATTTTGATTTCGGTTTTCGGAGAAGCTTCCGGGGGTGGGCTTTGAGGGATAAGTTGAGGGGTCGGCCGGTGCCTTGCGGAGGGCAAGTTCGGTGAAGTCTGTGGGCTCAGAGCTGGTTCCAGGGTTTGGGGGAATCACCTCGCGACGTTTAAGGCCTAAACCTAAAACCCGAAAACTCGAAACCCTAATCCACAAACCCCTAAACTCTTAAACCCAAGACCCCAAACTCAACGCTCTGATTCCTAAAAAACCCAAACCCCAAACTTGAAAAACAGAACAAACCAATAAACTCCAACCCTGCTCTAGACCCCCAAAGGTTTTATCTTGGGCTTGCGGCCAGCCGCCGACCCTTTCGCTGCAACGCTGCTCACGACAATTCCAAAATCCCTGTTTCCAGAAACCCGATTTTTCGAAGTTGTGTAAGACAAGATAAAGAGTCATGGATCCACATATAGAAGCTCAAGAAGCATCAAAAAGCCATACTTAATCTTGTGGGTTTAGGGTTTAGCATATTTAGAAGCTCAAGAAATCTAGTAATCTGGGTCTTTTGGAGAGGCGCAGCCCCCCTTCAAGATGTCGGCGGAGGTCTGGCCGGCGGTGAATGAGGCCCCGTTGGGTGTTCTCTCGGTAAAGGTTTTAATAATAACTAGGATGCCCAGTAGTACCCCTTATTCCCTTTTTTGTAGTCCTAGTTTCCTTATAAAGTTACCCAATACCAAAAAGAGAGGCCTTTTTATTCTTAGCTTGGTGGCCGTTTCGGGGATTTTTAATTTTTTGGTGTTTTGTGGGGTTCATTGCATACAACCAACTGCAGCCTTCAGGCTCGAGGGGTCAGACCAGGCATCAATCCAACCAGGTGTTTCCAGTGGAAACACCTGGTTGGAGTTGATGCCTGTCGGGGGATGCACGGACATCCCTCACCCCTGCAAGATGTCTGTGGTCCCACCACCGACATCTTGCAGGGGTGAAGGATGTGCGTGCATGAACCCCGACCGAGGCCCCAGCGTGCATGGATAGAGACATCCATCACCCCCGCAAGATGTCTGTGGTCCCACCACTGACATCTTGCGGGGGTGAGGGATGCCCGTGCATCCCCGACCGAGGCCCCAGCGTGCATGCACAGACCCAGAACAATGCACCAGGCTCGGTCAGACCCCAGCATGCATGCACAGACCAATGCACGAGGCTCGGTCAGACCCAGAACAATGCACCAGGCTGGGTCAGACCCCAGCATGCATGCACAGACCCAGAACAATGCACCAGGCTCGGTCAGACCCCAGCATGCATGCACAGACCAATGCACGAGGCTCGGTCAGACCCAGAACAATGCACCAGGCTGGGTCAGACCCCAGCATGCATGCACAGACCCAGAACAATGCACCAGGCTCGGTCAGACCCCAGCATGCAGGTCCAGGCTCAGTCAGTCAGACTACAGTAGGTGGTGGCTCCAAGGCTCCCAGGCTGCCAGGCTCAAGGCCCACCCCTAACCCGTGCCGCCATGTCTTCATGGACTTCGTCGTGATCACTCTTCGGCTGTGGCCGCAGCCGCAGCCGCAGCCTCAGGGGGGGGGGGGGGCAGGACGAGAGCAAAAATCATATTATAGCATGACATGCAATGACAGTCAGCTGCTTTGACTTGCGATTCCTGTCACGGCGGCTCCCAGGCACTTTAGGCTCCCAGGCACTTTAGGCTCCCAGGTTTCAGTCAGTTCCACTGAGGTTTCCTGCCGACGGCCGCCGCGGCTCTTCGAAGACAAGCCGCCAGTTTTGCATTTACCCGTGGAGTGTTGCATGCATGCCTTGAGTGTTTGCCGTGCACCACATGCAATCACAGTCAGCTGCTTTGACTTGCGAGTGTTGCCACTGGAGTGTTTGCCGAGCACCACATGCAATGACAGTCAGCTGCTTTCAGTTTAGGCTCCCAGGCACTTTAGGCTCCCAGGTTTCAGTCAGACAGTTCCACTGAGGTTTCCTCCGACGGCCGCCGCGGCTCTTCGAAGACAAGCCGCTAGTTTTGCATTTACCCGTGGAGTGTTGCATGCATGCCTAGAGTGTTTGCCGCGCACCACATGCAATCACAGTCAGCTGCTTTGACTTGCGAGTGTTGCCACTGGAGTGTTTGCCGAGCACCACATGCAATGACAGTCAGCTGCTTTCACTTTAGGCTCCCAGGCACTTTAGGCTCCCGGCACTTTAGGCTTTCAGTCAGTTCCACTGAGGTTTTGAACACCTGCCGACGGCCGCCGCGGCTCTTCGAAGTTTGAAGACGAGCCGCCAGTTTTGCATGCACCCGTGGAGTGTTGCATGCATGCCTAGAGTGTTTGCCGTGCACCACATGCAATCACAGTCAGCTGCTTTGACTTGCGAGTGTTGCCACTGGAGCGTTTGTCGAGCACCACATGCAATGACAGTCAGCTGCTTTCACTTTAGGCTCCCAGGCACTTTAGGCTCCCAGGTTTCACTCAGTTCCACCGAGGTTTCCTGCCGAAGGCCGCCGCGGCTCTTCGAAGACAAGCCGCCAGTTTTGCATTTACCCGTGGAGTGTTGCATGCATGCCTAGAGTGTTTGCCGTGCACCACATGCAATCACAGTCAGCTGCTTTGACTTGCGAGTGTTGCCACTGGAGTGTTTGCCGAGCACCACATGCAATGACAGTCAGCTGCTTTCACTTTAGGCTCCCAGGCACTTTAGGCTCCCAGGTTTCAGTCAGTTCCACTGAGGTTTGAACACCTGCCGACGGCCGCCGCGGCTCTTCGAAGACAAGCCGCTAGTTTTGCATTTACCCGTGGAGTGTTGCATGCATGCCTAGAGTGTTTGCCGTGCACCACATGCAATCACAGTCAGCTGCTTTGACTTGCGAGTGTTGCCACTGGAGTGTTTGTCGAGCACCACATGCAATGACAGTCAGCTGCTTTCACTTTAGGCTCCCAGGCACTTTAGGCTCCCAGGTTTCAGTCAGCCCCACTGAGGTTTTGAACACCTGCCGACGGCCGCCGCGGCTCTTCGAAGTTTGAAGACAAGCCGCCAGTTTTGCATGCACCCGTGGAGTGTTGCATGCATGCCTAGAGTGTTTGCCGTGCACCACATGCAATCACAGTCAGCTGCTTTGACTTGCGAGTGTTGCCACTGGAGCGTTTGTCGAGCACCACATGCAATGACAGTCAGCTGCTTTCACTTTAGGCTCCCAGGCACTTTAGGCTCCCAGGTTTCACTCAGTTCCACTGAGGTTTCCTCCGACGGCCGCCGCGGCTCTTCGAAGACAAGCCGCCAGTTTTGCATTTACCCGTGGAGTGTTGCATGCATGCCTAGAGTGTTTGCCGTGCACCACATGCAATCACAGTCAGCTGCTTTGACTTGCGAGTGTTGCCACTGGAGTGTTTGCCGAGCACCACATGCAATGACAGTCAGCTGCTTTCACTTTAGGCTCCCAGGCACTTTAGGCTCTCCCAGGTTTCAGTCAGTTCCACTGAGGTTTTGAACACCTGCCGACGGCCGCCGCGGCTCTTCGAAGACAAGCCACCAGTTTTGCATGCACCCGTGGAGTGTTGCCCCTGGAGTGTTTGCCCAGCACCACATGCAATGACAGTCAGCTGCTTTGACTTGCGAGTGTTGCCGCTGGAGTGTTTGCCGAGCACCACATGCAATGACAGTCAGCTGCTTTGACTTGCGATTCCTGTCACGGTGACTCCCAGGCACTTTAGGCTCCCAGGCACTTTAGGCTCCCAGGTTTCAGTCAGTTCCACTGAGGTTTTGAACGCCTGCCGACGGCCGCCGCGGCTCTGCGAAGACAAGCCGCCAGTTTTGCATTTACCCATGGAGTGTTGCATGCATGCCCAGAGTGTTTGCCGTGCACCACATGCAATCACAGTCAGCTGCTTTGACTTGCGAGTGTTGCCGCTGGAGTGTTTGCCGAGCACCACATGCAATGACAGTCAGCTGCTTTCACTTTAAAGGCTCCCAGGCACTCTAGGCTCCCAGGCACTTTAGGCTCCCAGGTTTCAGTCAGTTCCACTGAGGTTTTGAACACCTGCCGACGGCCGCCGCGGCTCTTCGAAGACAAGCCGCTAGTTTTGCATTTACCCGTGGAGTGTTGCATGCATGCCTAGAGTGTTTGCCGCGCACCACATGCAATCACAGTCAGCTGCTTTGACTTGCGAGTGTTGCCGCTGGAGTGTTTGCCGAGCACCACATGCAATGACAGTCAGCTGCTTTCACTTTAAACTCCCAGGCACTCTAGGCTCCCAGGCACTTTAGGCTCCCAGGTTTCAGTCAGTTCCACTGAGGTTTTGAACACCTGCCGACGGCCGCCGCGGCTCTGCAAAGGCAATCCGCGAGTGTTGCACGCACCCGTGGAGTGTTGCCCCTGGAGTGTTTGCCGAGCACCAAATGCAATGACAGTCAGCTGCTTTGACTTGCGAGTGTTGCCACTGGAGTGTTTGCCGAGCACCACATGCAATGACAGTCAGCTGCTTTGACTTGAAATTCCTGTCACGGTGGCTCCCAGGCACTTTAGGCTCCCAGATTTCAGTCAGTTCCACTGAGGTTTTGAACACCTGCCGACGGCCGCCGCGGCTCTTCGTGAAGGCAAGCCGCCAGTTTGCACCACATGCAATCACAGTCAGCTGCTTTGACTTGCGAGTGTTGCCACTGGAGTGTTTGCCGTGCACCACATGCAATCACAGTCAGCTGCTTTCACTTGCGATTCCTGTCACGGTGGCTCCCAGGTTCTTGAGGCTCCCAGGTTTCAGGCTCCTGAAGCAGGAGTCAGACCAGTTCCTGGGTTAGCATATGTCAAGCAGCGCGGACAGTGACATCATGGCTGCATTGAAGCTCCGAGCGAAGGCGGCCGAGTCCACGGACACCGCCGCAGCTGCGGCTGCAAAGCCGTCCGAGTCCGAGACGGCGGAGTCGGAGGGCTTCACAATGGTCTCAGAGCCGGAGGAGCAGCAGCAGCAGCCTGGCTCGGGATCGACTTCGTTGGCAAGGGCCAGTGACGATGCCACTTCGTCGGATGTCGGCGAGAACATCCCACAAGTCCTTCAGTCCATGATCAAACCGGCGATGCTGCGCTACAAGGCTACGGATCTCCAGTCCCACTATATGCACATTGGCTTAAACGACTGGGAGTTCAAGTTAGATGTTACATTAATTATTTGGTTTATTGCTTTGAAATTATAATTAATCAGTTTTTTTATTATAATATTATTATTATAGATCCTCCAGGCACCTGAAGCAAGCGCCGGACCTGCTGAGAGACCGTTACGACACGAGTGAGCAGTTCACGTGGGCACTGGCAGGGTTCAATGCGTATCGCAGCTCATTCTACCCAGACGGCAGTTTTTCCGACAATTGTGGCATCATAGCATGTACCTCGGCAGAATAACATTAAAATTTAATTTAATAATATAATAATTAAATAATTTAGTAATCATTTTAATAATAATTAATCATATTAATAATAATAGTAGGTTGTAGTTTAGTTTTTCATTTGAATTGTTCTGAAGATCGTGTCAACTCAGATTTCCCGTGGGAAGACATGGAGGTTATGCCCAAGTTGCAGAGCATCGCGACGTCCATGCCGCCGCAGAATGCAACGCCGCAGGTGTACTCTGTTGTACCTGAGCCTGATGAAGTTATTAATTAACTTAAATCTGTGAATGAATGTAATTATTATTAATTGCACTGAGGTGGCGTGCTGCATCCGGGAGCTTCTGGATCAGTTTCTCTATGCGCCTGACGAAAAGGTGGTCCGCATCCTCTTGTTCCCATACATAGCAAACGGGGCTGCGCGAGGATGTATGTTGAATCGCTTCGAACCCTGGCTAGGCTAGATCGAAGTTGGAGTAACAGATTGTTTGCATCGTTTGACTTATTATATATGACTCATTC